TTGTAGATATTCGGATTCGGCGTTGCCGGTAACCCTCGGTAAGAGGATTTTCTAAAAATCGAGTTTTAGCCCAGACACTGCCTTTAAAGGCACCGTCCACCCAGATTTTCGACTTCCACGTTTTTGTCGTTTCAGGGCCTTCTCATGTCCCTGATTCCGAATATGAAGTCGAGAATCCGCGAAAACCCCGAAAATCCCTGTTCCGGAGAATCCACAGGCCGGCTTTCCGGAACGGTGATTGGATGAGCGCGCACAAATGGGCGGGCATGGATGGGGAGGGCGGGCATGGATGGGGGTCCTCGTGCATCTTCGCTATTCCGAAGCGATTTTCTCGCTTTCGAAGCGGCATTTTGCGCCGCGACTTGGGCATTGGATTGATAGGGGGCCCTAATATTATATGCTGCCAAAAGCTTAACATCCTCAACTTAGGGTGGACGGTGCCTTTAACGAAGGAAAATAGATGGGGAGGAAGAATGGGAACCTTGTGGCAGGAGACGTTTTAGCAGAGGTGAAAAAACAACAACTTCACCCTGGCCGTGGAAGGATTTGGGAAGGGGTTTTGTGCCTTTGCATGCACTGGCCAGCAGCTTTTATTTAAGGAGAAGGATGCGGGCACCTTCAAAGCAGCGCTGCCATAAAAAAAGGCCAAAAAGCTTACGTACTATAGCCTGAGCTCCAACGTGGGATTTCTGAGGAATTAATATAGTGAGGAGAGAAAGGAAGAAAATGAAAGAAAGAGAGAGAGAGAGAAAACAAGGAGAACGTGAGGCTGAACCCTTAGAAAATTATGGAGGAGGAACTTTGGGCATCACGTGCATGAAAAGATCTAGGGAGGGGTGCTTTTGCATGAATTAGCTAAATGACAGCTTGGGGCAAGGAGAATAAATGGACACCATACTCTGCTTGGGAAGCATTGAAGGAAGAAAATTGAGGTGCTTTGGTAAGAACGATGAGTTTATTTGACGAAGAAAAGGGGGGAGGGTGGGATCCGTGTGATAGGGCGCTTGCTCAGCGGGGGAAGGAATTCTAGGCATCCTACCCGTGGAAGATTTTGGAAAAAGGGCCAGAAAGCCCAAAGAGAAGAGTGAACTACAGCAGGGGACTTTGACGAAGCGAAACAGGAGGTGGGGAGGGAGAGTGGGGACCATGTTACAGGGCACCTGTTTTAGGAGGTGGGGGGGGGGGGGAACGACTTTGGACACCGTGGCCGTGGAAAGGTAGGAAAATTTTGGTGCCTTCGCATGCACTGACTATAGTAGCTTTTGGCGGAGAGAAAGAGGGGGCGGAAGTTTCTTAGATGAGCTACATTCTTACACCAAAGTGATGTGTCTGCCAGGCATATTCGGATTAGCTACCAATTGAGAGGTCCTCAGTATACCAAAACATTGCAAGCCCCGCCCTCTTATCCAGTGTCGCTCCAGATGCTGAAACCAGATTTCATATAAAATTTCGAAATAGAAGTTCACTAGCAAAATTGCTCCAATCAAGACCAAATTTTCAATTTAGAGTTTTTGACGTTGCTCTCAGTAGTGAGATTTATTTGTTGCAAAGTCAAGGTTCGGCACCGATAATACCATAATAAGATCAAAATTCGCATTTAGAGGTTTTCGAAATTTCCTTCTTTTTGACAAGGCCGAGTTCAGGTTTACAGGTTCTCAATCGCTTTTTCGATAACGCAGTGTGTTTTGTGCAATATCAACAGCGATTTGATTTTTTTGAAAAAATTTTTGAAGGTCAGAAATGTTTGTCTCACACAAATCGAATAATTCCCATAGAATTGCCAAATTTAGAAATACGTATGTGATTCCGTATTGGTTTTTCCCTTAATTAAGTTTAATGATAACATTGAGGCTGCCTCAAGACAAAGGTCTTCATTAATCTGATCTGATATACAAAGAATCGTTAGCTTAATTTAAAAATCTTTCAACCGCGGGAAATCGAGGGCGGTCCCGCAAAGGCAGCATCTTAGAGTGCGCGAGACGGGGGGATTAGGCAGCAATCAAACCCATTTTTCAATTCGCTTTCCTCTTTTCCAGCAAGTTTTTCGCTTTTTGTTTTCTCAAATAAACTTTACTCTATGCATCTACTCGCAAGTCCATGCTTTTTATCTCTGCACACTGCATACCTCCTTTAATGAGTCGCCACTTTCTTCCCGGCCAGTCTCATCTCTATTGTGGACATGTTCCAACCAGATTTGTAAACTTTCAAAGAGGTATTGGATGTCTAGAGTTTCTATTCAAATGGAGACAATGTTGTTGCATGCCACTCGTACTAGAGACAAGGGTGAGTGACTTTTCATACGATGAGCAATTCCAAGGAGAGAGGTGTGAACGCCAGTGGCGTACCGAGGGGGGGGGGGGCGGGGGGGGCGCCCCCCCCCCCCCCGAGAACGGGTCGCGAAATTTTTGAAAGTTACTTACATGCGTTATAAAAATATGCAAATGACTTGTTTATTTTTGTAAACAATTAAAATAATTTTTAAAATTTTTTAAAAATTCAAATTAGCCTTATAAAAAAATTTTTTTCGGGGGCGTGGCTGACGCCACGCCCCCTTTTTCCAGATTTTAGGGGTTGAGGGCCCGCAAAATTGTTGAGAAGCCCCCCTAAAATTTTTTCGGAGTGCGTGGCTGACGCCACGCACCTTCATTTGAAAATTTTTTTTGCCGCGCCCCCCCCCCCCCGAGCCGAAATCCTGGGTACGCCACTGGTGAACGCCTATGGTCAGGTGTGAAGTCTGCATCTCTGCGCCTTATATATCTGTAGAGAGGGGAGGGAAGAAGTAAAATCATCTCACGTTTATCATTTTCATACAAGTGTTCTCACATCATTCTAACCTTTTGATGATCCAATATTGACACTTTACCAGGTTTGGGCCGGCTGGCTCCATTCCGAAATGAATTACCTGAAATAGTTTTTGCGTTCCGCGAAAGGGGAAAATTTGAAGGCTGTAGGAACTGAAGCTTTCCGCTGTGAAAATCATCTCACGTTTATCATTTTCATACAAGTAATCTGTGATGTTTTTTTTTTTTTTGAGAAATGTCACTTTTTCATGAAAATATGGCTATGTTACGTTAAACAATTCGTTTACTGTGGAATTTTCTTCTGATATAAGTCTCATACATCTCACAATTCAGAAAACAACCCTAGCTCTTGCTTTGGCTCAAAAATGCCAAAAATTCTTCTTATGGAATTTCTCACTAATTCTTGGGTCGAATGGATTCTTTCTTGCAAAAGTCCCTATTTTGAGAGATACCACATGCGTCTTTCCGACCTTTGAGCATAACCTAGCAGGAAAAAGAAAGTGCTTAGAGTTTTGCACAAAAGAAAGTTAGAAAATATGGTTGTATCAATTACATGCTTTACATATACTTAAGTTTTTGACAAAAATTTTCCTGTCCGTTGTAATCGATTACTGGTGGTAATGTTGGCATCCTGGCATATCGCCAAGAGGTCAAGATAATATTGAGTCTCCCTACAAAAAGTCCCCCCCCCTCCCCTTCCCCCACCCCTCCTCTCCCAGTTATAATAGAGAATGCCTCACTACTCGGGTCGAGAAGTGGGAAGTAGAGGTGAGGTAGGTGCGAAGACTAGGTCGAAATCCCCATCCGTATGAAAAGTTCCTCTCCCTACAGACAACGATGAAGTCGTTCGGTAATGGAGCCTACTACAGTCAGAGATAGACAGAGTTAAGCCTGAGATGTGTGGCACCAGAGAGCCTGAGGTGTGGCACAGCAAACCTGAGAGATCGTATTGAGGAGTCAGAGAATGGAGAAATCATAGCCGAGATGGGGCGAAAAACAAGTTGTTCGATGGCTGTTTTGACTAAAGGGGAGAGGGAATGGTTGAAGCCACATGCTGGATTTGACTGAATGAATAAACATCAGACTGAACAAACCTGAAATTTGAGCAGCATGCTTGATAATTCCACTTGCGAAACTGAGCGCACTGATTTTGACTTGTCAACGTTTACCTACTCCGAGCATGACCAAACTCTACGTAGAATGAGCACCTTTGCGATTCCGAATATGAACTAACAAAGGAAGGATACTTAATCGAGTGGCGTAACCGTAGGAAATGTACCGTAGGAAATTATAGAGCATGGAACGCTGTTTTCAAATCTGCTTTCATAATCTGCATAGCGCTTTTGGGAGAGAAGTTACGGAAAGAATTTCAACACGCAGCTACAATAAAAACATTCAGAACTGTATCCAGTGAGCTCGAATGGGGCCATAATAACTGCAAAGGCATTTAGTGCAGTTAATATCTTCACTCCAATCAATTCATGTTAATTGTTACTCCATTCAAGCGCGGGAAAGACCTCAACACTTGTTTTTACCTTAGCCAAAACCTTGAATTTTTTCCTCAAAATTCTCATAGCTCCTATCCCAAGAGCGCTTTGCAGATATCAAAAGCAGATTTGGAATTAGCAAATCCTGCTTCAAAAGAAAGTATACATCTCATATAGGAACTGCACTTACCGAGTATTTTTTCCTTTGTAAGATGTGGGCGGTAAGTCTAGCTTAATCTAAGGTTTGCGTTTGCAGATATTAGGCTACCTGGGTGGTATGTTCTTTTCAACTATAATGAACTCTGCTTTGAAAATGCATTAAGCCACTTCTCTTCACCCAGGACAAAACACTACTTCTCTTTGGACTAATGTTAGAAATTCACACTAGATAACCCAAAACGTTAATATAGTCCAGCCAGAAATAACATTTCTTAATAAAAGTATTTTGAGGCCTTAGCACCAAAAATGAGGTAGCAGCTTAGGTAGGCCCACTTCACACAAAATTCAGAAGGAATGATTTTCTTCGACATACGAAAGCTGAACAGACATAGACGGTGCGAGACCTCGTCTTCTGGAAACTGAGAGCAGTTTGTCCTCGGGGTAATTGATTACAGGACTTCAAAATGCGAAATGTAGGAAACTGCGAGCACTTCGGCGAATCAGAGTTGTGGACAGGGAAAAGAAATAAGCGCCAATGAACTCTGAGCCTTACCTAGGGATTCTGAAGGAGAAATATGGGCACCATGGCTGGAAAATCCTAGGAAAGTGGATTGTCGCTTTGACATGTAAACACCGAGGGAACAGGAAGCGGGGGACGAAAAGTGGGCACCACGTGAACTAAGGGCACTTAGTTGAGGGAGTCGTGAAGGAGGTAACTCGGACCCCTAAATACAAAAACCTTAGCAGAAAACTTTTCAAAACTGTGAAGGGCACCGTGGTCACGAAACGATCTGCGGAAGCTACAGCATTTGAGCAGGGAGAGAAAATGGGTACAGTGGAACTCAGCACTTTTATTTGCAAAATTTTGGAGGAGGGTAACTCGGATGCTTTGGCCAAGAGGAAACCCACGGAGAAAAGTTTGGACTCCAACACGGGAACTCTGAAGTAGTAAAATGGCGAGGAAGTGTTGGAACTTGACAAGGCACTTAGGGAGAGATTCCGGCCGGGGGGGGGGGGAGGAGAGGAACTCCGGGCACTCTGGCCATAATGATTCGGTTGATTACCAGTTTTGAATAGGAAGAAGAATGGGCAGCATGGAACTCGGAGCTCTCATTTGAAAGTTTTGGAGGAGGGAAATGCGGGTTCTTTGGCTAGGAGGAAACCTAGGGAGAAATGGGCTTTAACAGGATTTAGGTAGTAAAATAGTGAGAAATGGTGGAAATTTGACAGGACCCTTTGGGAGAGAGGGGACGAGTGGCGTAGTGGTATGAAGCGCCGCTACGACAAGATCGAACCTAGGTTCGATCCACCGCCCCTGGATCAACCAAGGCCCTCTACCCTCCGGGGCCAGTAATTTGGTACCAGAGTAATCTGGGAGGATAAATCACTAGCTTGACAATCGGCTGGACCCGCAAGTTATTGTTAGAGGCCTGCAGGTATTCACCTACTTTTTCGACTACGAAGTAGAGTGCGTTCGGAGCATGCACGCAGAGGGTATTGAACTCCGAATCTTTTATCCTTTACTCTATCCTCTATTCTCTTGGGAGAAATTTCTGGGGGGGGGGGGGTGGTTAAGAGAAGGGGAAGGAGAGGCTTTGGGCAACTTCTGGCTCTCTGACCATAAAAAGATTCGGTTGACTTCCGCTTTGAACGGAGAGAAGAACGGGCACCGTGGAATCTGCCTCGTTTGAAAAAAAGTTTTGAAAGCGGGACCGGGTACATTACCAGGAAACCTAAGGAGGAGAGTCTGGGCTCCAAATGGGGGCTTCGAGATAGAAAAATAGAGAGGAAGAATGGAACTTGAAGGCAGTGGCTCTGCAAAACCAAACACCTCAATAATTTTATATGGAAGGTTGCTTACACCCCAAACATGGGAACGGAGCAGGTCCAAGCGCACAGCATGCTGCCCCTGCCTAAAAAACTGCCCCCAAACCCATGCGCGCAAGCCATTCTTACACGCGCTCGAATGAGACTGTGATACCCTCGCACCGACAGAGGCATGTCGCAATGCTATGAACATGAGGGTTCCACAACCACTCTACTTCTCTAACCATAGCGGGAAGAGTTCCACTCGCCCAAATTTAAGATGAGGAGCATTGGGAAAGTTTTCAATTCGTTGGTTCTCGCCATTTTCGCGCTCTTCAGGGTGGATTTCCGGAATCAGCGCGTCAACACCAGGTAAGCGAAAAATTGCACTTCGCGGATTTGCCGAGCCAGAAATTCTGGGCGGAAGAGGGCATAGCGGTGGGAGAGAAGTCGTGGCAAAAAATGCAAAGCAAAAAATGAGTGTGTTTCTGGGATAATTCAGTTGCTAAAATTTTCCCAGCGCTTGAATGAGAGAGTGGAAGTGCGGATATATCTCACCTAAGAGTATTTACTTTATAGAGTGCTGAAAAGTTTACCACTAGTCCGTAGCGCTGTTACTATTGTTTTGATATTATTTGCACATTCAATTTTTTTGGTTGATAAGACTTTGGGTACTCTGGCCATATAAAAATTTGGTTGGCTATCAGCTTTGGACGGAAAGAATGGGCACCGTGAAACTTAATGCTCTCGTTCGAAAAAGTTCTGGGGGAAGGAAGTTTGGACACTTTTGTTAGGGAACGAAAAGTCTGGGCTCCGACATGGGAACTTTGAGATAGTAAAATGGCGAGAAAGAGTTAGAAACTGACCTGACAGGGCAACTGGGCGAGGATCGTGGGGGAGGGGGGGGGGGGGTAAGGGAGGGGTGGGAGAGGAAATTCGGGCACTCTGGCCATAAGAACATTCGGTTTATTACTATCTTTGGGCAAGGAGAAAGAATGGGTACCGTGGAACCAGCACTCTCATTTGAGAAATTTGTGGAGAAGAATTTTCCTGGTACTTTAGTCAGGAAACCTAAGGAGGAGAGTCTGGGCCATAGAAGAACTCTGAGCTAGTATTGAGAGAGGAACAGTGGGAACGATGTGAACCATTGGAGCCGAATTAGGAGGGAATATGGGCAATTTGCCCGTAAAAATATCTGGAGATGGTTTTACCCGAGTGTTTCTACGGGCAAGCACTTTTACACGCATACACTTGATTCAAAATCTGGAAGCACCTCATCTGCTTGGATGCATTAATTGAGATGCAGACCGCAAATCTTCGCTCGATCAGTATGCAGCACACGAGGCCGCGCGGTTCACTAGTCTCAAAACAAAGGAAAAGAAACCTTTAAAAATCAATACAGTGATGTGGAGTGTAGGTGAATCTTACCAGAAATTTGACTAATTTACGATTTAAACCTGATGCTAAAATTTGGAAAATAATTCAAAGTTTCGAAAAAGTTTCTGAGCTCTATTTTTTGAGAAAACCGGGAAAACTTCGAAGCCATAATTGTTAACTGTGTCCCCTTGTCCCGTTTGGAATACTTTCAAAATTTTTACATCGGAAAAGTCTCTCAGCGGTCTATTTCCGCTTCTTTTACCCCTTTTTCCTAGTTCCTACATATATTTTACTGTGATGATTCTTAGTCCAGCCTTGGTTTGGTGGTAATCAGATTTATTCAAAACGTCGTTTCTTATAAAGGAGCTGAAAAGGTTGGCGATATTGATTTTAATTCTATAACTTCAGCTTAAATTTTTAGTTTTACCAGCATATGGCCAGCAAACCTTCCTGCCTTCTCTGTGGAAAAGCTGGCACCGATCGGACATCGCCAACATGATAGCCTTCGTAGCAGATCGCTATCAGTCATCTGCATCGTCGGCCAGACGATCATCGCTGATGGCGGTATCTCACTAGCAGGGACGGCACGAAGTGGGCAAATGTAACACAACTAGTATATGTTACAAATACTTGATGCCTGTGATGCTGTGAGGGGTCTGTGAGGGGACTTCGAGTCTGTGAACTCTGTGAGGTAATGAAGGAATTGAGAATGGCGGATATAATGAATGATACAAAGCTGACATAAAAGCAAACACAAGAAAACCAAACAAGAAGATAGCGACATGTACACTAAGCTCTGCCAGCTACTTATATATGTAAACGGATGTATACAAAACACCAGTAAGTATGAGAAGATCACAGATAAGTTAACAGCTGACAAAACAGTAGACACGAGCCTGTGAGAAACTTCCCGCTACACCTGTGAGAAACTTCCCGCTACAGTCGTTGTTAGTCTTGCGGAGTTTTTTGGGTGTAAAGTACAATACGAACATAGAGAGTTCGTATAGAAAATGTGCAAGCATTTTTCTGAAAATTTCCCACTGCCACAAAATGGTAAAATGGCTGTTTTGCAGCGCGCTCGTGATATGGCAATTGGCTGTATGCACGCAGTTGAATCAAGGAGCAAAGCGTGAAAAATTCTGGCAAACTTACGTGGGTAAGGAGCGTGCTGGACTTTTTTCCAAATTATGTAAGCTGTCCACCTAATGCCCACCTGAGGTAGGCAGAACTTCCATTTCACATAAGCTAAAAAATTTTCCATAAACTTGTTTCACATCTAAAGTTTAGCATATAACAACATTTTTGTTATAAAACTCCTCTTCTCCTCCTCGTTAAGATCCGGGATAGCAACGACGGTCAATTTTGAGCGCTCCAATCGAACCACCTATGCAGCTGATGAAATCGAGTGGGAAATTGTAAAAATCGATAGTGGCAAAGGTGTATTTGCGTAACGGATTTGGGAAAACCAAGTGGTATCGAAAGCCTACCAATAAAAATATCTTACAAGGGAATGGTCAGAAGTCGAAGTAGCCAATCCATACAAGCTGCATACCATTCGATGCAGCATAGAATGCGCTGCATACCATTCGATGCAGCATAGAATGCTGTCAAATCTGTCTTCCATATCTGCAGAGCGCCTTTGTAGGCGAAGTTTTGAGCAGCTTTACTGCGAAAAAATCGTGTACAAAAATTGCGAAATTAGGCACATTGTTGCTCTTTCAGCTCACCTCTAGGTACGGGTCATATGAAATGACCTAGTTGCATGTTTTGGTCCAACACTAGGTTGAGAATGGCTTTGTACGGCCAAGTTTGCACTTCACACGCACAATTTCTTAGCAAAATAATGGCTTTCAACGGCTTATAATTTCGTTCCACAAAAGCGCTCTGCAGATAAGGAAGACAGATTCAGAGTCAGCGTTTTATGCTGCATCTAAAGGTAAAGGATATTCGTCGACGACTGCCCCGTTTAGTGCATTTACACCACCGCAGGCGTGCCTCGTTGGGGCCTTTCCAGCTTGACAGTACGCTGCAGCGCGCCGGGACTTCCGGGACTTCATAGCTCGCAGCAACACTGTCCTTTATCCTCTTTTGTTGATTTAAGTATTTCGCATTGTTTTTTCTTCTTATTTTTCATTTCAGGCAATCGATCGTTCTATGTCTATGTGAGACCATCGTCGCGACTCGCGAGCAAAATAGAAAAAAAGAATGACCTTATTTGTAATTGCAGTGGTGGATGTCATAGCTATGATTGCGATTGCATATTTTCTTCAATGTTTTACAATGATTTGATATGTTTCTTGGGACATACCACTGAACTGATTACTTCAACACTCCTACATCAGGAACACCATGTAGGAGTGTTGAAATAAACATTAAAGTGGCCTCATCTAAGGAAACTCCATGATACCACCACTGTTTTATGGACAAAGCACACCCTTTCACCCAACTTTACCCGAGGAGATGTTCACGTTTTGAAAAAGAATGTTTGGTGGGTGAAAAGGGAGAGGAATTCAAGAAATGTGTTCTAAACAAATTTTTTCCTTACCTCTCAGTACTCATCAAAGTGAAACGTAGGACATTTGAACATCGAGAGAACCTAAGAAAAAGGGAAAACGAATGACTGACTGAAATACGTAAACTAAGAAGAAAAAACGATGTGAAATACTTAAATCAACAAAAGAGGCTAAAGGACAGTGTTGCTGCGAGCTAAGAAGTCCCGGCGCGCTGCAGCGTACTGTCAAGCTGGAAAGGCCCCAAAGAGGCACGCCTGCGGTGGTGTAAATGCACTAAACGGGGCAGTCGTCGACGAATATCCTTTATGCAGCTTGTATGGATTGGCCACTTCGACTTTTGACCATTTCCTTGTTAGTGCATTGCCGTTCAGCACATCCACGGAATATGAAGAGGTCTATTCTGAATAATATGTTCAAAACAGCAAAAAAATCTCTTCTGGGGCGCAAGAACGTAAGGCATCCTTAAAGTTGGTAAAAGAAGTTGCAATATCCAATGGATATTTGCAAATGAGTACCGTTAATGGTAATTCCTCAAATAGATGCATACCGCATGAGCAAGACACCCAGAAAATATCCTTTTGCATACCTTTCGTAACGGACTTTAGCAAAGCTGTTAGAAGGAGTTTACATCAAGCAGGCTTGCAAGATTATGTTCGAATTGTAGACATCCCTCCTCCCAACTCAAAAAGCAGTTAATTCGCAATCGCGCATATGATGATATTTGCTCAACATCAAATCGCGTAATATCCCTTTGGAAGGCCAAATGATTGCCTAAAATGCGGAGTCGTCTATCTCATTACCTGTCAAGTATGCGGTGAAGAATATGTGGGAGAGACCGGACGACCATTGTGTCTACGGATCAAAGAGCACTTGGTTGGACTTGCAAAACGCAAAGCATCCACTCCTCTAAGTGCACATAGCAGATTGCCACACGATAATATGCCGTTTAATATCGCTGCCACAATTTTGTCATACAAACAAAAAACTATCCCACGCAAGACACCCGAAGCATTTTGGATTACGTCACGTAACCCCAAAATGAATAAAAAGGACCGTAATCAAAGAGTTATCACCGTAACAAAGCCTTTGCGGTTTTGATTACCAAAGTATAAACAGCATGGAGAGCAAAAACGTACTATCACATCTTGCACAGCTTGACCACGAGCGGTCAAATCTCTCGACTGACGACGATTAAGGTAAGGCATGTTCTAGCTCTTTGCTGGTCTCGTGCTCAACTCACTTTGAATCGTACGGTAACGAGGGCTCAGTAGGTACTCCACACATACGTTTTTGGTTATAGGCTCTGAAGACTGCATTGGCGCCGAAACGTTAGCCGAGTAATAAATTGTCACCATACCAATCTTGTTCACCGTTCAACAAGAAATCCAAAGGCGAAGTCGTTTCACCGATGTCCATTTGTCACCCTCGTGCTGGGCCCTGCTCACTATTACTGGCTTCAATGCAGACTTCAAATTGAGTGGATAGTCCATTTTCACCCCCTTTTCTTATCGCTCAAGAATAGTGCAGCAGGTCCAACATCGTCATCATCGTGCAAAAGTTTTGGCACACAACCGCCGAAGACGATTCTACAACCTGATCTTTTTGCTTTGGGAAGCTAGAAAAGACAGTTAGCTCAAAATGAGATATCGTATAAGGCGGAAATGAGATGTGTTTATCATAGAATGAATCCCGACAGTGAGGTCCAAATCAGTTTTGCACGAAACTTTCATTGCATCGCCACCGCAACCATTCTGCTCCCTCACTGGTTCACCTGACTTCATCAAATCAGCAATATCTTATGCCCTTTTTGTCAATAATAGGTAGCCTATCTTGTAGCCGCAAGCCAGTAATACAAAAAAGGGGCTCAAACAGAGAAGTTTTGCGAAAAGGAAAAATTATCACTTAAAATTGTTCGCTTTTTTCGACATTTTTTTGGTAGCCTCAAAATATGAAAATTTTGATTTTCTGCGTACGCTGAACATCTCTGCAGAAACTTTCAACAGGTTCCCTTACGCTTACAGAAATGAGCGAAGCTTTGGCGATTACCCTCTTTAGCAGCGTACACCCAAAAGTTAAGTTACCCAGTTCCTTACACCATATATATACAGGGCCCAGAATAAGACTAACTGCGGTCAGGTCTCCCAATGTTGCTTCCGCCTGATTTTTCTTTCACTCCGCATCTTTTCTTTCACTCCGCCTCGTTCGGACGAATCCACGACAGCGTAATCTGCAGTTGCAGTTGCTGTTGCTGTTGCATCTGCAGTTGCTGCAACTGCAGTAGCAACAGTGCAGTTGCAGCTGCTCCTCGCTGGCATGCCGACGGGGTGGAACAATTCGAAACTTGTCTTTCCTTTGAAGAGAGGTCCCGGAAATCGGGGTTTTTTGGGGTTCTGGAGAATTTTAATATCATAACTGTAATCAGGTGTACGGAAAAGCCTCAGAATGACAAAAACATCGAAAGCGAAATTTTGGGTGCACGCTGCATTTGAAGGAAATTTATGGGTCACAGAATAACCAAAACCACTAGCCATGTTGAGGTGCCGAAATCTCAGTCTAGATAATTTCTGAAAAAATAGCTAAGTGTGCAAAATGTGGAATTTCCATTACATAAAGCAGCTAAATTTTAAAAAAATACGTCTTTATTCGCGCTAGAATTCCGGCCAAAAAAGTAAGTGCAATGAAATTCTGGTTTTGAGTGCGGTTGTATAAAGCTCTATTAGTTTTTGACAAATGAAACTAGAAGCTCCTTTCAACCATTATTAGATAGAGCATATGAGAAGTTTTCTGAAGGTAAGCTAAGTTCTTTCCATGAGAAAGTTTGGTGGAAAAAAAGTCCCGAAACAAGGGCTAGAAAAACACGCATTACTTTTGCATCAACCTAATAGTTTTGGTCTATCCTTACCTCACACTGTTTACGCGAACCCCTTCAGCTATCAATTCAATTGCCATAGCTCGCATCTTTTGATCTAATGCTGCTTTTGACATTGCATAATATGCAGTCATAGCATACTGTAAGCATACTGCAAGTTTTGCAGATAAGCATTGAGAAGTTTTAGAAAGAAAATAGAATCTTACAGAGCTAGGCTGCCCGGCCGTGCTAGAAACATTGATGATCTCACCCTTCGATTTTATAAGATGTGACCGAGCCAACTTAATCATGTCGACCACGCTGAATTTGAGTTTTAGTCAATTCAAATTCAATTGCTAAAAGATTAAGTGTTGCTTTTACCTATACACATTTATTTTCATGGTTTTCTCCAAGATATCAGTACCGGCATTCAGTCCTATATGTCCACTTTCATTACGAAATGCTGCCCCGGCATTGTTAATCTATGAAGAGAACATCAACTTTCGAATTCTCGGAAACAAACTCAGCCTACCAAAATGTCTAAATGTCCGAATTTCGACGGTGCTTGAAACAATTTGTTCCTTTCCGATAGCGTCTGTTACGTCTGCCACAACAACAATCACATCATCCTCGTTTGCTCCAACTTTAATCATAGCTTTCATAGCCTGAAATTTTGTTAGTATATTGATCGTTACAGTAATTCTCACCTCAAGCCCATCTTGCTTTTTTCCCGTAATTGTCACTTTTGCACCTTCTTTAGCGAACAGCACAGCCGTTCCAACTCCTATCCTAGAGGATGAAATTAGAAGGATATTTTTGAAAAAATAAGTTGGCCATTGTGAGTGTGTTTTTAGCTCCACAGAGCCAGAGTGATTTCGGCCTTGGACTAGGTTTATAATTTCAAAATCGTTTTGGTATGCACTAATAACTCACATAATACCCTAATGCAGCTCTATAGATGTGCAAGTAAACTTGAGCATGAAATGCTAATAAGAAGCCGTAAGTGAGGTTCCTGAAATGAAATCGAAATAATTACTATACCTGTAGCAATAACAACCTTGCCTTGAAAACGTGACATGGTTCAAACGCAGTGAAGTAGAAGATGAACAAAACTTGCGCCTTGAGTAAACGAAACACTAGCCAGCTCCGACAAGTGCTGCTTGTAGGCCGAGGATCATACTGATTTTTGTTTCCCTCTCTTTTAAGATGAACAAGGTGTGATTTGCTGCTGCATGAGTGTACTCTACATTCGAAAGGGGTGAATTGAAGGGACGAAGATCTTGAAGTAGCGTGTCACTTTGAAGAAGTTGAATTACTAAGTAACAGCTTTTGCTAGCTTCGGTAGTTGTTTCAATATAGAACCTTATAACCACCTACTGACCAATAAAAAATGAAGCCTCAAAAGATTGTAACCTTACTTTACATACCTTGAAATCCTGTAAGTCAGGTTTATGAAAGCAGACTCACAGGATTTTAGGGTACCCCATGGTGGAACCCTATGAAAGTTTGAAATTACCAAGAAATATGTAGTTTCTAGGAAACTGCAAGAAGATAGGGCTTTTTGCATTTCAATCAGACGCTCCTGATAATTGAAATCCGATATTGCAAGCTTAATAAGCACATTTGATTTTCTTAAGAATTTTTTGGTGATTTTCACCTTAGCACGTTACAGTTCTAATGGAGCGACAGTTTCCTTTTTCAACGCTTTTCGTGCGAGGTCCGTACCAGGGCTCTGTACAGGTGGCTTTTAAGAAAGGTGAATATCGTTTTTGGGACAAAAACAAAAAGGGTATCGTTTTTGAGGCCGAAAAGACACACAAATTGCGTCGTTTTTTAGTCAACGTTCCGTTTTTTGAGGGTATTTTTGGTTTAGGTTATAGAGTTAAAAGAAATTTCGTAAAAATTCGCGAAAATCAAAGAGGACTTCGTTTTTTACATTTTCCAGAAGCCACCTCGTGCCGAGCCCTGGTCCGTGCATTGTCAACTTCACGAAAACGCTTGAAATAGCTCTTTGAAAGCTTTCGTGGTACATCAAATCTTATGTTGTTGTGTTACGGACACCGATAATTTTGGTTTTGATCCAAGCAATTAGCAGATTTGTTGTGGAAGTATCACGAAGCAATTTAGTTTTAGGACAAGGCATAAGTCTGAAATTTGGCCATAATCATATTAGGTTGTAAAGAAAGTTCTGCCAATAGACGCTGACCTGTATTGTTTTATTTATATCTTCATCATGAGTGGCTGTCATTTAGCGATATTTTGGTCATGTGTACAGATAACCTTAGACTACTGATTAGGTATGTGATAGAGGCTCTTTTTCCAAAACGCGTGGCTGCGTTTCAAAACCTGCGGAGAGTTCGTTTTTTTGAACCCTGATTTCAATGAATTATTTCTTGCTTGCAAAAAGACCCAAATACCGGGGCATGTAATTGTCGGATATTGCTTCACCTAGTCAACACACAGGATATAAAACAAATTTTCAAATCAAGCTCCTGAAGTTCTGCGCGTCCATAATCTAAAAAATGTGCCTTTTCGCAGACCTGAGCGCAACGGATTTTTCTCCTTTTTGGGCATTTATTTCTATTCGATCGTCATTTTTCCGAACTTAATAGCGTGTTAGGTAGCTAGGGCCATCGCACACTAAGAATACATTTTGAACCAGCCCTTTGCATTCGCGTTCCTTTTGGTATTTACGAGAAGGATTGGCAGAACTTTCTTTACAACCTAATAGCTTCAACACAAATTATTCACAGTATGAAAGATATTATATGAAAGTGTGACACGGATATTACACTTTTCATTGTTTTCTAGGAAACCCTAGTCTTTTATGTGAACCTTATTACAAGAAGGGAGGATGATACAGCATAGAAATTTTGTATTAATATTTGTTGCGTTTTTGACTTGCTGCCAACGTATTCACTTTGTAAGCTATGATGGCTGGGTATGTCTTCTGTACGGATACGGCTCTATACGGGTTTCTGCAAAAAATCTTTTTAAAGCGCACCTTGAGTGTATTGACAAAGTATAGGAGAAGGAGTGGTTCGAAAAAAAGCAAAATTTGTTGTGAGACATGAATCTCAACTTGTAAGGAAGTTTCCAGAAATTTCAAATGAGTTTTTGAGAAATGGACATTTCGATACTTAGCAGTGCTCAGAAAAGAGCTTGCATGATGAGTTTTAGCTTATAAACGCACCTCAACTTCGTAGGCTCACTATACATTATTTTAAGAGCCTACTATATTCTTGAGCAATTCCATGTATATATCATATGTATGCTGGTCTACCTATCGATGACAAAAAGCTTCATAGCTTATGTTATTATCAATCATGCTTCGCAATTTTCATTCAGAATGGGGAGTAACTATGTGTTTACGTTCTCTTTTGTAAACAGCTGAAACAAAGCAGGTGCCTTGATCAAATCAGAAAACCAGAGGGGTAAGTTCATAAATGGTCTTGCTTTGAATAAAGGGATTTAGGAGAATTTCTGTGTTCAGCATGACAAAGTTTATTTCTGTGCGCCTGTAGAGTTTACGTAATCTTATACTAAAACTCGAAGCCGTTTTGTCTTGTTCATAGGCATATCAGCATTGAACCTACATCAATTGAGTTGCCACTATTGGCGACGAATGTTTGGCCGACGATGTATGATGACTGTCTTCTCTCAGCCAAAAAAGCGATTAGTGTTGCGATATCTGATAGCTTAGCAATTTTGCGCTGGGTGTTGGGCCGAATGGATTTCTGGCATAAGTTTAGAACTAGAAAAATAAAATACGACTGGTTCAAATAGATTGCCCGAACTCTTGCCTTTGCTGCAAGCTCATTAGGAACTCCACTATTTTGTGCAATATTCGTCAATTACTCCACCATAGCTAGAAGATGCAAAATTTTCGTATACTTATTGTAAACGAGAACACCATCACTTACTTCATATTATCTACCCGCACTCCTTCAGCAATAAGTTGAGTTGCAACAGCTCGCATCATCTGATCCAAAGCTGCCTTCGACAACGCGTAGTACGGTATTTTTGCATACTAGAATAGATATTCAATAGCTTACAGTGTTGCTCATGCTCACGGCTTTTGGCAACCCGCAATATTGGAGACATTTACAATCTCACCCTTCGAGGATACCAAATATAAGCGAGCCAATTGGATCAACTCAACCACACTTAAGATCAAGTTAAGAGTTAACTCGTTTTTACAAAATTAATCTGTACACATTCAGATCCATCCGTGGTCTTCTCAATATATCTGTGTTAACCTTTAGTACAGCGGAACCATCGTGGCTTAAAAATGTGCCACCGGTGTTATTCTTTTGACTATTACTGCTCAGACACTCGCTGTTGACTCGCGCCGGAGATCCACCACTTTTTGAGGGATTCGCGGGAAAGGTAGACATGCGCAAGACAATATTTTGACAGTTTTTGCGGATGGTCGCGAAAGAAAATCAGGAGATGATGAGTGACTCAGCGAGCAGTTTCGCAATATCGACGCGCATTTCAAATCTCAGCTCATATTGCATCATTCCAGGTTTTTTGCTACCTTTATTCAAAATTCGTGCATTCCATCCATTCCAACTAAGCCCTCTTCTTTCCATTACTTCATTCCAATCCAAAATTAACTTTATTTGAAATCCAATTTTGAAGCTTCTTCTCTAGAAATTGAATCCTAAGTTTGCATTATTATTTTTCATTGGTTTAGATGGTGGGCCAATCTTGGAAAGGACGACAAGGAGCGATCAAAAGCCTTCGACATGCTCTCGCAGGATGGATTGGGCGGTCTTCGCTCGCATAGCCCTCGGAAGAGCCTTGTAAGCTATTCGAGTACTGATAAGGCAGATGGACATTCCATCTCGCCTTCTGCAGGAGAGATGTACGGTCTTATGTACTGAATCCGGTAAGAGATGAACTCCTTCCTCCAAAGGTAAGATGCCAGTGCACTTACTCCCAGTCTTCGTCGACATGGTTTTTTTCTTTTCAGAAGAAGCGTGTGATCGAGACTACGGCAAGCAGCTCTTCTGCTGCCAAGGAAGTAGAAAAGCCCCGACGAGATTCAGCCCATCTGCTACTACTTTTTTCTAATTTGCTGTACTTACATATCACTATCATATTATTAGCCTTAACTCTACTCCCGCTTTTGCGCATCACTTACCAAGTACGCTTCTATCTCATCATGTATCTCAATATTGTGAAGCTTTAAGATAGTAAACATAGTACCCTATTTTCAGGTGTATAAGCCGCACCCTTTTCACTCTAAAGGCGAACATGACAAAAGACTGACTGTCATCATGGAGCGCGTTAAGTGAGAGCAGTATGCGATAAGGCGACCGCTTCGCGAGAGATGTGCGCGGCGGCACGCCTGGGTCTGCTCGCGAATAGAGCAAAAAGGGTGCGGCTTATACACCTGAAAATAGGGTAGTTTGATTCCCCCGAAGTTCTTATTTGATTTTCTTCCGTGGCTACATTAAACATAACTCTAACATTGAAACGTTCCTAAGATTGAAGTATTCACTATGTGCTAATAAAGTTTCCAATCAATCCTTATGTCATTTTAGAAGTAATAAATTGGTTAGTTTGGTTGTAGAATTCATATATATACGTGTACATACATACATACATATACATATATGTGATGTACAGCAAGTAGGGATATAGCGAAATTACTACTGCGAGATAACGCGCTCCAGTTGCGTCCGGACATCAGGATGTGTCGCCCTCGAGCTGCCGCGTATTTTCTGCAAGATGCGGGTCGCGTCAAAGCGTTGTCTCGAGCAGCATTGTTCCGACACATAATGCTGTCTCGGGATTTCGTCGCGAGGCCGATTAGTTGTGTTGCGCCTTCATTCAGCGCTTACACAGAACTTTGGGCTGGCGGGTCAACAGCGAGTGTCTGAGTGTTCGAAACAGTTCGCAAATTTCCTGCACATGCTTTCTGCGCGAGAAAGTGCAGTAATGGCTAGGCTGTTAGGGTCCTGTTCTAGTTGCACTGTGTTCAAGCAGCGATATTCTAGGATTCTTGCACTTACTGCAGTGTAATGGACATATTTGGAAGTTGTGGTATGCTCAATGCTTTTGCTCTGATGCCTGATGTGACCTTGATGTGGAAATACGAGGTCACTTCCCAACGTCTAACTGAGTGCTAGAGTTCCACAAATCCCCTTCTAAGTGGTTTCAAACAATTCCCCAAAGAAATTCCCATAATTTTCAAGTACTTCAGATGACAAGTGACTGTCATTATTTCTCACATGTGGAGGTCTAGCAAGTACTAGCGAAATAGCTTATTCGGGACCTGCTATAGTGGTTTTTTAGAGGTGAAAATCCATTTTCTATGAAAGATTATTGGACTAGATTTTCAGGTTAGATTGTTAAGAGATCAAGTGCGCAATGCTCAGATGTTGGCTAAACATCAGGAATCATTGATACCCCACAAATCAGACCTGACCAATTCGAAGATATTGAAAGCGGACGTTTGAGAAAGTCCTTCAATCCAAGGTTTGACATTTGTATGCACTGGTAGAGGCGATTCATTGCACGCAAAGATTGAACACGGTTGCGTCCAATTAAGATAGTGCGTGTTTGGTAGAGGCAGCAGACTACTAGGGGAACAGAATTGTGTTTGATCTGAGAGGCGCCGACTGGTCCGCAGTGGCGATCTGTCTCTGCGTGCGATAAATCAGCTATTCATCTTTTACAGTTGTCATAGAAGTCAAGTACATTTTTTAAACTTTCACATTCTTATTTTGGAAATTTTTTCAAAAGCTTACAGGTGTAGATTAGCATAGCACTACAATACCACTCACAGAACATGCAAAATTTCCGGGATTTCCGCGAAATTCCGGGAATACCGCGAAATTCCGGAAATTTCGCGGAATTCCAGGAATCACGCAAATTACGCAGGGCCATGATTTCCTTCCGAATAAGTATATTCAAAATCCGAAAACAGCATTGTACTCAGCTCGTCAAGGCAAATCTTTTTATATATAGATTGTGTCCAATACCTTGTTTTTAATAATTTTGAACTTGCATGCGGACGCCTCTTCGCATGGGTGTAACGCAAAGAGCATCACACATAGGAGACTGCAGTGGGCATCGTTCGATCTTTTTCACTAAATTATCGTGCGCTAAACAGCGGCCGAGGACTCTCTTTCAAAAGAGATAGTAGAGCTGATAAACTCTGGAAAAATCAAGCTGTTCCAAGTTCTACTAGCCGTAACTTCCTTCAGAATGAACATTTTCGAAATCCGAAAGCATTGTGTTCATCTCGTCAAGTCGAATCTTACGGTATAGACATGCCCTTGAAAATCCGTTCCCAGTTTTTTCAAAATTTTCTGCGCGCGTATATTCACAAGGTCGCAATGCAGCACACATCAAACGTAAAAGACAGGTCAGCAGGTCAGATAGCCTCTATGAGCAAGTTTTGAAAGAAATTTGGGTGATTTGATTTTTTTCTTGTTCTACGCCCTGATGCTCGCCGATGGGTTTTAGTCAAAATGTCGATGATCTTGGATTGTAAGGAAACTTTGCTTAAAGAGGTTCTCGAACACGCTGTTTACGATAATCGTCTTTTGCGCGGAGTACAGAGTTTTTTAGCTGAGATATGGTGATGAAACTTTAGCTAAGCCACGAAAGTTCGTAAATTTACCTGCATTTTTCGAGCACCTCTCAGAAAATCTGCTTGCTTACCTCTACAGGTTAAATTCACTAGAAAGCGTGCTATTTGAGGATGCATGCATCTGGCTTCAATCTGAGCAATAGCCGATTTACGGGCTTACGAAATCACGTCCTCATGAGTTTTGCCCAAAATGTAAAGATCGCCTGCTTCGTAAAAATTACACCTAAGTGACTGTAAGACACTGCGGTCGCGAATTTTGTGTTCACTTCGCTTAAGGAATCTATCCTGCTGTACCGGAAGTAATTGATTAGACCTGAGCTTTAGCCATCTTTGATATTCACTTGAGGGCTCAGGCACATACAACCACCAGATCCAATAAAATAAGATCTCAAGGATCTTTCGAGTTGAACATAAATTCGCAACCGCAGTGTTTTACAGTCACTTAGGTGGAATTTCTACGAAGCAGGCGATCTACATTTTGGGCAAAACTTATGAGGACGTGATTTCGTACGCCCGTAACTCGGCGATTGCTCCGATTGAAGCCAGATGCATGCACCCTTAAATAGCACGCTTTCTAGTGAATTTAGCTTGTAGAGGCAAGCAAGCAGATTTTCTAAGAGGTGCTCGAAAAATGCAGGCGAATTTACGAACCTTCGTGGCTTAGCTAAAGTTTCCTCACCATATCTCAGCTAAAAAAGCTCTGTACTCCGCGCAAAAGACGATTATCGTAAGCAGCGTGTTCGAGAACCTCTTTAAGCGAAGTTTCCTTACAATCCAAAATCATCGACATTTTGACTAAAACTCATCGGCGAGCATAAGGGCGTAGAACAAGAAAAAATCAAATCACCCGAATTTCTTTCAAAACTTGCTCATAGAGGCTATCTGACCTGCTGATTATGAAAATCACATCTGCGTAGCAGTAGAGCTTCTCATTTTAGGGTCACGGTGGGCGAAATTTGAGACAACAGTATTTTTTCAAAATTCACCAGCTCTTCTTTTTCCAAGAAGATTCTCCGATTGCTTTTAGCGCTCTATAATCTGCGAAAGCAGTACAATCCAACAGTGCTTATTGGAGTCTTTTACGTTTGATGTGTGCTGCATTGCGACCTTGTGAATATACGCGCGCAAAAAATTTTGAAAAAACTGGGAACGGATTTTCAAGGGCATGTCTATACCGTAAGATTCGACTTGACGAGATGAACACAATGCTTTCGGATTTCGAAAATGTTCATTCTGAAGGAAGTTACGGCTAATAGAACTTGGAACAGCTTGATTTTTCCAGAGTTTATCAGCTCTACTATCTCTTTTGAAAGAGAGTCTGCTGTTGCTGTTTAGTGCAAGATAATTTAGCGAAAAAGATCGAACGATGCCCACTGCAGTCTCCTATGTGTGATGCTCTTTGCGTTACACCCATGCGAAGAGGCGTCCGCATGCAAATTCAAGACTATTAAAAACATGGTATTGGACACAATCTATATATAAAAAGATTTGCCTTGACGAGCTGAGTACAATGCTGTTTTCGGATTTTGAATATACTCATTCGGAAAGAATGGCCCTGCGTAATTTGCGTGGTTGACATGAATTTCACGAAATTTCCGGAATTTTGCGGAATTCCCGGGATTTCGCGGAACTTCCGGATTTTGCATGTTCTGTGAGTGGTATTGTATTAGCTGTCGAAAATTCTCGGATGATTTTGTTGCCGAGTAAAACGAAAAGACGAAAAAGTTCAGAATTAGCGAAGATCAACTTCAAAATTATTCCCAGCCTCTGGTATTGCAAAATAAAGCAGAAAACCTCTTTTTAAAGGGGTTTTTGGGAAAATCTGGGGAATTCTATAGCATGAAAGTAAAAAATGCGCGAGCGAAATTTACTGTATTAAATAGCAACCAATACATTTCGAACTTTACGAATTTTCTGAGTTACAAAACTAATCGGGAATAACAACAATAAGGCGGGGATAAAAATATAATGGACTCATCAGATATTCGATCGGCTCTGACATGCATTTCAACTTAACAAAATTTTCGTTTCTGTAACTAACTTTTTTCTATCCATCTTCTTCTTACCGGTAGCCAATTACCAAATCGTATTTGGTTTAGGACTATCGCAAACAAGAAAAAGCTCTTCCATGTTTTCCCCCCGAGTTTCGAGAAGACGATCCTCGAGCGAAATGCGATTCGAATACCGCCAAAACAAAGATTTGAAACTGTTTCTATTCACTTTGTCTGCTTTTATGCCAAAAATGCTGAACGCCTTGCACTGATGCTACGCAATCAGCCTGTTTCACCAAAAGAGCTGCTACTGAAGCATGTCGAGTTTGCTGCCAGGTAAGTTTCACCGTCTTTGTGATTATTCCAGAGCAAAAGAATTTTTCTGCAATCCTTAGGTTTGGACGCCTATCAAATCTGGAAGGTTGTTACCTAAGTCTTGTTACACTTAACTTCGAACGGCGGTAAGTCATGCACCTCATGTTCTTTACAGAAGTACATATACCATTCGATAGAGCAGAGCAAGCTCTACAAGACGGTATACAAAAGTTCGCACTAACTTCGACCCACTGTAACTCTGCATCCAAATCTGAGTCGTAGTGAAGGCTCAAAAACTGCAAAAAATTTATATCTTTGTTCAGGAAAACGCTACGAATCTCCAACTTGCTCACGTAAATGTCTACTATGTCAGACAATCATATGTACCGTTGCTGTATTTTTTTCTCATCTATAAATCGAGAAAAGGAAAACTACAAGCCCTTAGAAGCATAACCGTAAAGTTTGAGCTCTCCAGAAACCCTAGTTTTCCAAAACTGCCTAATTTAGCATTGGACATCCGAGTGAGAGAAGCTAAATTTGGTATTTTTCAAAAACTAGTGCTTGTGGAAAGCTAAAAGTCTACGGTTATACTTCTAAGAGCTTGTAGTATACAGCAACATGAATAGAAAAACTTAGCTTCGTTTTTGTAAAATTCAAAAAATTTTCCTTTTCTCGATTTCTAGATGAGGAAGAAATACAGGAACGGTACATATGAGTGCCTGATATAGTGGGCAATCTGCATGAACGTGTTGGAGATGCGGAGGATTTTTTTTTGAACAAAGATATGAATTTTTCGCGATTTTTTGAGCCTTTGGTGCGAATCATATTCCGGATGCAGAGTTACGGTGGGTTGGAACTGGTGCGAACTTTCGCTTACTTTCTTGTAGAGCTTGCTTTGCTCTATCAAATGGTACCCTGGATTCCTATTAAGATTGAGAAGCTCACGACTTATGTAGTAAGAAATCAAGGTGTAAATAGATTTATGTAACAACCTAATACTTGTGCTTATTATAGCAGTTGTTGTATGTGTAATCAAAAGATGTTGCTGTAGACGTGTCCCGAAGTTGAAGAAAAGTTGATCACTTGTTAAAATCTAGATTTTGTTTACTACAGTCCTCATCGGTTAAGCTTTGATCATCTCGTCGTCAACGCCCACCGCCCCTAAATCCTCCATAATCGACTGTGTCTCCAGAACGAAAATGATCAAAGGAAGGTGAGCTTTGAAAATCGAGCAACTATGTCTCTCAAGGAGATGGGTAGAGGACCAGCAGGATTTCATACATGCAAGAGTGTCTGTTTGTTGCAGATGTCCGCGCCGAGCCACCCCCTCCTCCCTTTGAGTGATATATAGTCGTGTAACCTTGAAAAATTAATTCCATCGCATGGGTAGAAACATAGATCTTGCACCAAATTGGGTCATAATTGTAATATGCTAAGAAGAGGAAACGCGAGCTTAAACGAACACACAAGCGGACATTGCCAGTCAGTCTCCAAAAAAAGTTTTTATTTGTTAAACAGTGAAAACATTATACGGAGAGGGAGAGGTCATAGGGTTATACAGGGTGTCCCAAAAGTAAGTACACACTTTTCAATCGTTAATATCTCTCTTCCCATTGCGTCTTTTTTTGCCACTTAAGCATCATTCTGTAGAGGAGGCTTCAACTTAGATTTACAGTATTGAGCGAATCACCGATCGCTCTTCATTACTGTAGGATAACTGTAGAATCTTCGACAAGGATTTCAGGCTATTGGAAACCAATTCTGCCTCGGAACAAAACCAAACAAGCTAAAAACTCTCATACTAAGGTAATGAAAGTTGCTGATTTCAAATATGAAATTTCCGCCATGCTATGATGTCTCTTTCTAAAGTTATCCCAGGTAAACCGTGATATCCAAATTTTCAATACTTGTCAAAAATGTGATTACACCATCAGAAAAGCTGGAAACACCCATAAAAAGTTGTGTAGTGGAATTAGTGTGCACGAAAACCTTAGTACACTATTTTTCAGATTTTTTGAAAAAAATGTCGTCAGATGGCATATTTCACAATAGTTCTACTTGCTGGAAGTTCTTACCGTAATCCTACAGTGATGAAGAGCGGTCGGTGATTTGCTCAATACTGTGAATCTAAGTTGAAGCCTCCTCTACAGAATGGTGCTTAATCGGCGAAAAAAGACTTATTGGGAAGAGAGTTATTGACGATTGAAAAGTGTGTACTTACTTTTGGGACACCCTGTATAAATGGAGAACGCTGCTTACTAAAGTCACACAGAAGAGTGCAGGCTAATTATTGTAGAAAAGCCGTAATGTCGATGACGGTAAAACAGCTCAAACAATGTAACTTTTGATTCAACTGGTTTGGCGGCTGGAAGGCGGGGCTTTGTGACGTAAGGCCGCTCGCGCCCCCGATGCAGTCTGCGTCTTTCTCGCAAAAAATGCTCTTTGATCATCCTCTAGCCTTAACTAGGTCACGAAGCCCCGCCTTCCAGCCGCCAATCCACTTGAATCAAAGGATATGTACAGGGCAGTGGCGTACCGAGGGGGGGCGGGCGGGGGGGGGGCGCGCCCCCCCCCCCCGAGAATGGGTCGCGAAATTTTTGAAAGTTACTTATAAGGGTTATAAAAATGTGCAAATGACTTGTTTATACTTGTAAATAATTAAAATACTTTTTAAAATTTTTTAAAAATTCAAATTAGCTTTATAAAAAAATTTTTTTGGGGGCGTGGCTGACGCCACGCCCCCTTTTTCTGGATTTTCGGGGTTATGAGGCCGCGAAAATTTTTGAAACCATCACCAAAAATTTTTCGGAGTGCGTGGCTGACGCCACGCACCTTCATTAGAAAAAAATTTCTGTCGCCCCCCCCCGAGCTGAAATCCTGGGTACGCCACTGGTACAGGGTGTCCCAAAAAAAGTATCCACTGTTTGATTGTTAATAACTCTCATTATGAGGTCCTTCGAGAAGTGGTGAGCGCCATTTTGTAGAGCTGGCTTCAACTTACATAGATTTGCAGTATAGAGCGAATCACCGACCGCTCTTCATTACTGTCGGATTACGGTAGAAACTTGAAACATATGGTGCCAATGTGGAAAAAAACCGACGTCTCAAAATTTTTTAAATAAATGTGAAAACTTATGTAATAGGGTTTTTAGGGACGCTGAGTTCAATACTCAACTATTCTCAAGATTGCGAAGCTTTCTAAATGGTGTAACCGTAGTTTTTAAAAACATTGAGAAAATGGCCGCTACTGCTTACCTCGCATAACTCTTCATCATAATAAGTTGGGAACTTTGCAGTTAGAATCAGCAACTCTAATGGGCCTAGTGTAAAAGTTTTCAAAAGGTTTGGTCCCTTTCTGAGGCAAAATATGGCCTTTCATGGCCCAAAACCCTTTTTCAAATTTCTACCGTAATCCTACAGTAACGGAGAAAGATGGACAATTTGCTCTATACTGTAAATCTAAGTTGAAGCCAGCTCTACTAAATGGCGCTTGCCGATTCTCGAAAGACCTTATAATAAGAGAGTTATTAACAATCAAAAAGTGGATACATTTTTTTCGGACACCCTGTACAATGATGTATTTCCTTTATTTGTAGCACAGTGGTCTTCTTCAGTATTTATTGTTTACGCTGCTTTCTATTGAGCTTTTAAGGCATTGTAGCGTGTTACGATTTAGAAGAATTGTTGACTGTTGTAGCGTGTCATCAACGATAAGGGGAGAAAGGAATTATAGAGAACGAGAGAACAAAGCAAAGACCCGAATTTTTCCAAGAATTGTGTGACAGCAGTGCAGCGCTGCTTGTCTACTTTTTTATAGTAGTGTGTTGCCGTATAGTTTGTTATGAACACTTGAACTGATTATTTTGCACCACCCAATTCACATTCTATTATAAACAGCTTCTCCTTATTTAGACTATTTTGCATAGCGGTTCGCAAAATGAATTTGAAGCCAAGTTTTAAGCACCAGCGGTCTGGCCACAAATCACAGCCACGGACTATTTTCATCTCCATTTGCTTCACTGTCTTGACAACTTCGTAGAGTTCGTAAGATGCCACGTTTCCACGGAAAAGTAGCAATCATTACAGGTAACATGAATTTGACAAAATGTGAACATTATATCTTTTATCTTAGGTTCTTCGTCTAAAATTGAAGCCGCAACAGCTGTATTCTTCGCTAAGGAAGGAGCTAAAGTTACGATCACAGGGAGAAAACAGCATGGCCTTGAGGTAGTAAGGAAATATGAGAAAAATCAGCACAAATTTTTGGAAGAACTTATAAGTATCGCTACAAGGAAGTGCAAATCTTAGAACACAACGGGTTTCCCTTTTTCTGTTTATAAGAAAAAAATTGTCATATATTGGTCGCTTTGAAAATATTTCGCTTTTTTAAAATAAACCACACTTCGTGGAACAAAGCTTTCTAAGGGGTGGCATTCCATGCAATATTCTATCTTCTTTCCGAGAATTATAAATTCGTCGAAAATGGCATCTCCCTCCCTCCTCCAAGTCAGAAAAAATTTGTTTGGAAGCTCTAATCTAAAACTGAAGCAAAAATCGATAGAGGAGGAGAGCCTTTGTCATCAAAATCTCGTTACTAAAGGGCACAAAAAACGTTAAAAAATTAAAGAAAAAATGCTAACGAAGTTATTACACAATTCAATGGAATTGATCGATTATATGCTTTTTGTTACTTTTCATGCTCAATCTGATAATGGTGAGTAAAATCGACTGATTTCCATTGCTTCATTGTTGGATAAATGCGTATACATTTGTTTTTTATTCGAATCTAAGGGTGAGTTCGTCAATGTCTTGAGCATTGCCGGATTGCCAACAGCAATGAGCAGCACTGACAAAATTACTGTGAACTGTCAACGTTTATAGTTTAGAGTACGCAAAAATACCGTATTACGCGATGTCGAAGGCAGCTTTGGATCAGATGATGCGAGCTGTAGCAATCGAACTTATTGCTGAAGGAGTGCGAGTAAACAATGCGAGGTAAAGAGTACATTTATTTTTGACAGATGACATATGGGTCTTTGAGAAAATAGCATTTTCTAGTCCCGGTAGAGTTATGACAAGTCTTGCACAAAATAGTGGTGTATCTGATGAAGTCGCATCAAAGGTAATGCATTAAGTTAACCCAAAAATATATCTTTTTTTAGTTCTACGCATCTTATGCCAGAAATCCCTTCGAAGTGCCTAGCGGCAGAATTGCTGATCCATCAGAAATCGCAACGGTTATCGCTTTTCTGGCTGACGAAGTCCAGTCATCTTGCATTGTCGGCCAAACAATCGTCGCCGATGGTGGCAACTTAATTGTTCTAGCTTCAAATGCTGATGTACCTGTGAAAAAGACAACACAGTTCTGAAAATGAATAAAAAATCTCATGAACTACACATATGCACAAAAACAGACGGTTCAAATATGTACATGAAGACTCTCCCTTTTCTATATAAAAATTACGTAAAGTCCTCCATTTTCATTTGTTTCAGTCAAAATATGCTTTCATTTTTTAGCATAATATGTAAGTCGCTGTCCTTTTAAAGTGGAAATCACTAAAAATTGCAGATAGATCAGCAAACATAGTACAGTATGTGGATATATCGCTCAGTGATATAAATGTCCATCAACGGCATCAATCAGTGGCACAAAAATATTTTCACAATTATAGATTTCCCTTCGACATTCTAATGGAATTTTGACAGACAATGCATACGGCGGCCTAGCTTTCTGAGCGAATTAGCAACAAGCCGCAAGGGCGATAATATCTACAAAAGCACAATGTTCACTCACCCGTTGAAATTATTCTCTGTCTAGGAGATGGTTAATGAGAAAGTTCAATTAAAAAACCGCGCTCTTCAAACAGCAATGAATGATTACAATAGGATTCTATGTCGCACTTTTATATACGATGAAGAATGTGTTTTGAAGCCCATGCTTCCCTCCAAAGGTTGAAAATTCGTGCTGATTCAAATCACAAATTTATGCCCTGCTTCGTAGAATTAAAACGCGTAAAGTAAGACCACAGTTTGAATGATTCTCTTGTGGTACTCATTTTCTTGTTTTAAGGTTTTTTGATGCTATTGATTTGGCAATATCTCTCAAAGTTAGTTAGAGCATCGTCGTTCCGTTCAGTGTCTTTCACCAACTTTCGAAGGTAGCGCACTCTTCGCTGCAAAAGATCTCAAACCGTCCACCTTCCTTTGAAGAAAGATAGGAGGACGATAATCGACATGACCCTTGGTCTAGAATCAAACAGTGAAGACTCCATGACAAGAGAGTTATTGACAATCAAACAGTAGGCACATTTTTTGGGAAACTCATCGGTAGCTTTGAAAAAGTAAAAGCTTTGCGCAGAACGGTAAATGCGAGTGTGAACCAGTTACCGAATTTGTTATTTCTCGTTAGTTGCCACAGAAGATAACCACCATGAGCTGCATTTCTGTAATTTCCTCAGTTTCTTGGGTAGAAACTTGCACGAATGACGATTTACAGCAGAAAATAAACTTTTAATCATTTTTTGAACTAAAGTATATAGCTTGCAGGTTTACTTATCGAACAAACCCATGACTTTGCAAAGTTGAAAGTCAAATCAGAAAATCGAAAAACATAACTTAGAAGGAAAGTCCGATCGCAGCTCTCCACATTTATAATAGCAACAGTAGATCACAAGAAATCAAAAATAAAAGCACTTTTCGTTATTAGACCTTTCAGCGCTTCTGCCAATGAATTGAAAAGACTAGGCATAGAGTTTCAACAGCTTGCATCACCGAAATTTGTGAATAGTGATTTTTGCTTTAAACCCCTAGAAAGTTGATGATTTTTTTCTTCTAGAAAATAAAAAAACAAGAATCTAATGAGAATGGAATAACTCATTTAAAGATTAGTGCAAAAGTCATGAGACAAAATACTATTTTTACTCCACAATACTTGTGGATGTTTGATATAACTTGTAACTGAAAAAGCAAAAGCAAATAATTGCTCAAATTTCTGTAAACAGCTTTCTCTCTTTCAGCACAGTTTGGAATAAATTGTTATTGTTTCAAATCAATCGACTATAGGTTTAGCTTGCCGGACGAATTGATCAAGCTAATTGTGAACCCGATGCGAGATTTGCGAAGCGAAAATAAGACCTCTCTCCACCACATCACTACTTTGATGGCAAAGTTAGTTCCTTTTGAATAACCGTAAGAAAATCTTGTCGATGGCGAATTCCAAAGGCTGGTCAACGACTAGCTCTTGTCAACATCCTCATTCGTTGGATTATAATGTTCCACATTTCTTACCTTTCTTTCAAAATAGCAAAATTGCAGCCTACTTGTTTTCAGAGGCAAAATTATAGACTACTTTGTTTTCGGACAGCTGGGATAAACAATCGCCGCTTTCAATCTTCCTACTGCTGCTGCCTATAGTCTCTATTACAACATTGTAAGTGCTTTTGAATGATTCTATGGATTCAAGAAATAACCATGTCTGTTGAGAAGCGGATATCAGCGCGAATTTATCAATGGATTTCTCATACATACACAAAGCTCTTGAAGCTTCATTACCCAGGGAAGCTGCAAAATATCTTTCCCGGCAAGAACTCAAATTGTTGGAGGTGAGAAGAGGTGATCAAGGAAATCCGGATAGGCATCTTTTAGCGCCGCTTAACTGGCCAAAAAGAGAGCAGAAACATTCAGCTTGCCTAACAAGTTACACATTTTGAAGGGATCGCTAAATAGAATTTTCATTCATATCTCAAAACCTTCTTCACTAAGGTTGCTTTATGTTTGCCGTGCAATAATTCTGTCAATTTCAATACAGACTCTCTATGTCATCTTGCCATCTATTAGGTTGGTGCACATAATTCTTGCACCAAAATAGGTACAGACCGCAATAATCCGGAATAATCCTATATCCCAAATAGGATTCGATATTTCATTAGATAGCGCAAACCTAGCTCTACAAAATAGTACTCAAATATCTACACCAGATTTGATCCACGCGAAGTTTTGAGCCGGAAATTGAAAAAAAAACCTTGCGTTCGAAAACCTTAAGACCAATTAAAACAAAATTGTAACTTCATTCAAAAAGCTCCTACAAAATTTCTTTGTTGCTCACGCGTAGGCATTCCACGTAAGACATCTATCTATGCGGTTCCTGTATTTTTTTTCTCAGCTAGACGATGAGAAAACGAAGTTTTTCATGTTTTTGCCAAATTAGTGCTGAGATGTTCTAGCACTAACAGTTGTATAGTACATGCCGTTAGCAGTGAAACTTTACATTTTCAGCCTTTTAGAACTGCTAGTTGATGAGAAATGACGAATCTAGCTCTCTTCATCCGAATTTTTCTTGCCTAGTTGCCAAAAATTCAATATTTCTCGTAAACTAGCTGCTATAAAAAGCTGAAAATTCACACTCGTGCTTCTAAGGTCTTATAGTATACAACTGTCAGTGCTAAAACATCTCAGCATTGTTTTGGAAAAAAAAACATGAAAAACTTCGTTTTCCTAGTTTCTAGCTGAGAAAAAAATACGGCAACTGCATAGGGAGGTGTCTCATACGAAGTGACAATGCATGAGCAATTTAGAAATTTTGAAGAATTTTTTTAAACTGACTTCCAAATTTTTCTTGGTTTTTTGGGGCGCTTGGACCTTTTTCGTTTTTGGCTTCAATCTTCGCTTGGATTAAAGCTGCTGCAAAACTTAAGGCGCTATCTTGTAGAGCTAGGTTTGCTCTATCTAATGATGTATCGAATCCTACTTGGGATATAGGATTATTTCGAGTTATTGCGGTCTGTACCTATTTTGGTGCAGGAATTGTGCATCAACTTAATAGATGCAAGTATTGTGATCAAATGCAGCTCCGTCCTTAATTTATGTCTATTGAGAGCTTGCAACAGCAAATTTTACAACATTCAGATGTAGATTCTCACGCATACAAAATTCTCCCTTTATTGTATTCCATAACAGATGAAAACTTTGCATTTGTTTTCTCTGTAAAATGTTTGCTTCTTGTAGTAGATCTATCTATACCCTTCCAAAGCTACAGACTCTGAAACTGCAATTTTTGCCTATATATGGTCCATTGTGACTCTCACCATAAACAGTAGTAACAAACCCGTGGGTATTAGAACCAACTAGGTTTCAAATGATTTGAAAACGAGTAAAAGCATGAATGCACAATGTTAAATAGTAATCAGCTTTTAGTATCAGCACACTACTGACAAAGTTCAAATTATATTGTAGAAAAATCTCATTAAAGTGACCAAATTCTCTTTTTTCGACAGTTAATTCCAATCCTCAAGGAAGCACTACTATCATTTCGGTTTCCAGAAACTTGATAAACACAGATAACTCAAAGAAGTCGCTGAGGAACGAATTACATGCAAATTTTTTGATTAAATGTTTATTACTTTGTATGGTTTGTATCTCACTTAACCTTTCACTTTGCTTTGCACTCTAGTTACTTGGAGTTAAATAGAAAAGAAAACTGCGTCAGAACACAGTTTTATTTTTGCAAGCAAAACTCAAAATGTCTACATGAATGCGCTTACGAGCAATGAAAATACCTTATAGCAAAGTGTCTCAGAAACCTCTAGACGCCCACTTCGTATCAAATTGAGATCTAGATTGAATAATTGTTACAGTAGTGGGCAAGGAATTGATACTTCGATTTTTCATGATAGTCATATAAGCCTTCCGAACTCTTGCTTGAAACAAAAGCATAACCACTGGATTTGCCATAGAGTTTAACGTAGATATAAGCATTGGCAAGTAAGAGGCCCAGTCACTATTTGGCAGTAATAGTGGTAGAGCCCAAAAACATGTACCACTGGCGAATTGTATAACACATAAAAGGGAAAATTGAATCACCTAAAAGAAGACATGAAGATAAAGTCTGTATTGTTAGCGCATTGAGCTACATTTATGCCTACCAATCTGATTGTTTTATTCTGAGACTTCACTTTGGCGTTTTTCATGTCCTTTTTGAATCTCATTTGTATTCGAACAATTTCGGCATAAACCAAACCATATAATACAAAGTTGATACCAGGAAATATGTATTCAAAGTAGTTTTGCACGGGTCCAAAAACTTCGCAAATGCTGAATAAACAAAGCATGTTTACTAGTTCATGGAAATCAGTACGCTTGAGTTAAGCACCACATTTTCTGAAAAAACTTGCATTTTCGTACTTTCTTTACCTACCTGCACCCGTATGAAAATGTCAGTTTGTAAGGATCCGTAAGTACGAAGCAACCCTCAAAAGCCATGCTTACTGAAATCAGGATTGATGCAATCCACGGAATTGATGCGAAGATTGCATAAGCTGTTCTATTCGACACAAGACTCTCTTGAATCTGAAACATTCATTTCTCACAAAAATAAGGGACCTCTTCTGATGAAGGCAAGGGTTTAGTCCTCACTATTTATTACTTGGTTAATATATTCGTTGAAGTACAAAAGAATTCGTTTTATCTGTTGCTGTCTTTATTGAACAGCTGAGTATCGCCCATATGTATGAGAAAATCTACTGTTTTTTGGAGAACTGAAATCTTCCAGAATGGTCGGCCGCCTCAAGTGGAGTGGGAGTGACACTGGGTGTCGATTTGCTGCACAGCCGAGTTTATACTCTGGTAGGGCTTCCCAAGCTGTGAAGGAGTTCGACGTTTCCGGTTTCGGCCGGATGCCTAGCTAAGAGCCGATCGGGCCAGAGCCCCCGCCATCTGGCTTTCCGGACGCTAGGCGTTCTTCCTGCTCCACACTCGCGTCAGCGATTGCCTCGTGGGAATCAAGAGTAGGGCCTAGTAAGTCTGCTCTTATAAGGGATAACGGTACTTTTCCGTTATCCGTTTTTCAAAAGGCTCTCATGAATGCTATTTATTTTGAGGGCAATTTTTTTATGATTCTACGAGGACCGGCTCCCTGCCACGTGTAAGAAAAAAATTGACATGTTTCAGTCCAATTTGAAATGCTTTTTTTTCGAAAGTATTCGCCATGAGGTAAAAGAGCATTTATGATCACCTAAAAGCTGTTCAACGGCTTTTGTAAGAAAAAAACAATTTAGACCTTATATTAGGACATTCATTGCTTATAGGAATGATTCAAAAATGACTTTCTCTTCAAACTCTGTCCGCCATGCGATTTTAGCCAAGAAGGACTGTAAATTATGGCTGAAGTACCTCGCTACTGAGAATCTATCAAATTCTCTATTCTGAGTAATTCCAGTCTGTTCATTAATAATAGAATAACGTCATAATCATAATCTTATATATAAAGCTGAATGTCTGTTTGTCTGTCTGTATGTCTGTCTGTATGTCTGTATGTCTGTGTGTACGTATGTTCCGAATAGAAAATTTCTGAACCGATCGGGACCAAACTTGGCACACATACACTCGGGCCCCGGCGGGTGTCATAGGCTACTTTTCATCATCGATCGATATCGATTTTATCGATTTTTTGCAAAATTTGAGCTTTGAGCAAAATCGAGCATGCTGATTACCCCCTGTGCCAACTTCCAGCCCCGTAGCTCAAATTTTGCAAAAAATCGATAAAATCGATATCGATCGATGACGAAAAGTGGACTGTGACACCCGCCGAGGCCGAAGTGTATGTGTGCCAAGTTTGGTCCGGATCGGTTAAGAAATGGAATTTTCTATTCGGAACATACGGCGGAGCCGGGTAAGCCAGCTAGTGATATATATTTTTGAAATTGTTTACTCGAAAATGGGGTCATTATTGATTGAAAAATCGATTAAACTCAAGTCAGTAAGTAGGGCAATACAAACTCTTGGTAAAACCTGATAAACATGTGGATGAGTGTCAAATTTTTTTTGACACGTGGCAGAAGGTTGACACTCCTTTCCTGTGAATAGAGGAGCAAATATGGTACAAGAAAAGAAGCAATAACCTTTTTTGAAAAATGTGTCCGGATAACGGAAAAGTACCGGGAAAACTTCTATTACTCCGTCAGCAAGAAGAAATAAAGAAAAAGCCCTGTATATCGGATGCCGCCTACGGCACGAGGTGATAGCCAGAACGAAGACAGGGTCCTTAGGGCGCCTTTTGGATCGCACAAAAACGACAGTCTGCCCGAACGGTACGCCATGGAAACTACCTCACGCTCTGCATCTACAACGCCAGGACAGTCTCCACAAACGCGGACCTCCACGATCTTCTCGACGCTACAGAGTACACTAAATACCACGTCATTGCTATGCAGGAAGCGAAGTCCGACGAAGGAAGTACGACAGATGAGAAAAAACAGGATCCAAATGCAACCCATCTCGAGAGACTGATAGCCAACGGTAAGTTGCAGAACAGCTTTGCAGGAAGACCTCAGGAAGTACAGGCGAGCCAAGTACTGGAAGCAGCCGAAGGAAGAAGTCTTGAGAAGTGTCGAAAACTCAGTGAAATCACGTGCCGCTGGCCGCACTATTGAATGAAGATGGGACCCTGACTTCTTCCCGATATAAGATGGAATCTATCGCGAAGAACTTCTACACCAAGCTCTTCCGCTCATCAACACCTGTACCAATGACCATTTTTGCCACTGGAAAAGTAACACCCCGGATTCTGCCTGTGAAGTGCGCACCGCAATTCTGACTTGAAGACGTCCACGGCTCTAGGACCAGACCATCTTTCTGTCGAACTTTTACGAGCCGGAGGACAACGTCTACGCGAGATTCTCGCGTCGCACCTACCATCTTACCTTTAGAAGAAAAAGATTTCCAGCCAGTGGAGAACGTGAACAACTTTTCTGAAGGGGTAAACGGGAGGATCTTTGGAACTACCATCCAATATGCCTGCTGAGTATGTCGTACAAGCTTTCCACAAAAGTTATCCTCCTTGCCTATGTAGGACTGCGTGAAGCTCAGCCTCAAGAAAAAGCTGGTCGCAAAGAATTCAGCTGCATGGACTATATCCGGACGGTTTCGAGGGTTATAGAATTTTGCCGAAAATACCGATTGCCTCTCGTTCTAACCTTCGTCGACTATGGGAAAGCCTTTGACAGCGGCGAGATCAAAGCAATTCTTTCAGCGCTAGTCGACCAAGGAGTGGGCCTAGCTCTCATGAAGGTGTTAGCCGACTCCTACAAGAACTGTACAACGACGATGCAGCTATTTCATCGCACCCTTGACCATCCTATTGGAAAAGGGGTTCGACGAGACAACACCATTTCGCCGAAGCTGTTCATCGCGGCCTTGCAGTGGATGATGAAGTCACTGGACTTGAACGAGAGAGGTATTCGAGTTGATAGGAGATTCCTGTCGAACCTTCGTTTTTTGAACGACATCGTTCTCTTTTCGAGCAGTATCACTGAAGTAGAGAAGATGTTGAAGGAACTAAACGAAGAGGGAAGAAGATCGGATGGCGAATAAATCGAAGAAGACTCAATTCATGAAGAACGCCCTCTGTGAAGATGCAGAGAGATTGGTGGGCACCCCCACCATGGAGACTTCTTTAGTTCATCTTGGACGTTCGATGAACTTGAAGAACGACTTGAAGTAAGAACTTAACAGGAAAAGAAGAGCAGCCCGGGCTGTCCTCGGGCCTCTGAAGGAAGCAACTTCCGCACCCGGAGCTCGGGCCCACCTATTCCACTTAAGCGTTCTCCCGGCGCTCTGTTAAGTAGCTAAGACTTGGGCCGACATGGTAGCCACGTCGAAAGCTCTGAAGACTACCCACGGAGCGCTTAAGCTGTCTTATGAAGATGACGCGACAAAAACATCATCTTGTCGGACTTCGCAGTACGGATATGAGAAGAATGTCCCGTCTTCGTGACCTAGCGAAATACGTCGCGAAAGTGGAGCATCGAGAGCCCTCACATCATGAGAAGAACAGACGACAGATGGACATTAGGAACATCAGAGTGGATTCTCCGCGAAGCAGAACGTCCCCGAGGATGACCTCTAACGAGATGGACAGACTTGTTCGTGGAACGAAGGGACCAGCTGAGACATCATCTGGATACGATTTTTGCCCCTGGAACTCGAAGACGCAGCCACCGGCGACAATCGAGAAGATTGTGGATTTCTGAAGCGAGGGACAGGGATCGAAGGAAACTTCTATGCCAGGGCCCGCACGTTACGTGAAGACGGGCCATCTAGGTGTCTACGTAAGTAAAATCTAGAGCTCACATGCTCAAAGAAACATCTGATACAAAACATATTGTTCCCGAACTTTGGTGAAAATCCTTCCTGTTATATTAGGTTAAACCGAATGTTCTGTCGCACTATTCCAAAAAGTCGTAATCTTCCTACCGCAATGTTCTTGGCTTCAGTTTTATTGGAAAGAGCAAGTCGTGCACCTTTATTGACATCCTGCTTACTCTGATCTCTGATTGCAGACATAGAAAATAGAAAGTGAGTTCTTTCGAGGTTTGTTGAATTGAGGCATGCCAGTCAAAAATCTGAAAACTACGCAATGAAATTTAAGACGAGCAATGTCATAAGCTTTCCGACCTCCCCTTTCGGACTGAACAAAGTTTGTGCTGGTCGAACTCTTTTCATAAAAAGTTGTGATTTTCAGGAAAAATGCGAAAAAATCAATTCTCCCTTTTCTGCTATATTTTCGAGAATCATAACTTTTCGTAGAAAAGCCCGGCCAGCACAAATTGTTTAGCTAGAAGGAGGTCAGAAAAGTTGTGACACTGGCTGTTATTTTATTGCGGAGTTTTTGAATTTTTCACGATTGGCTGTTATTTTATTGCGCAGTTTTTGCATTTTTCACGAGCTTGCCACAAATCAACAAACCTCAAAAGACCTACTTTTCCGCTTTTATTTCCGCAGTCAGAGCTTACAAGTGTCTCACCAAAATATGGTAGTAGATTTTTGCATATTGCAAGCCTTTCAGACCTTGTCTGACTCGACGTCAAAATCGCATAAAACGTGCGAAAACCTCGTTCTTCAAAGACTCGCGAAAGCAACGTAAACGAGTTGTTCTTAACCTAACCTTCGCCCCATAGTAGCAACGTCATAGACCAGGACGCCACCAGGACAGGACCGGACCTTGGCCATTGCAGCCCAAACCGCGTTTGCGGGACACTTTAAGTGCATTTTTTTCGGAGGAGCCGACCGAGTCGGACTCAGCGCGCTGGCATATTCAAGGGGTCCTCTTACAGAGTATGCGGAAACCCGCACCATTCAATTTTGGTGAAATACTGCCTTTTTGAAGAGAAATCAAGAGCTCGCTAAAAAATGCATGATTTACTTTTACTAATAATATTAGCGCCAAGCAAACATTGTGACAGAAAAAGTGATCCTTTAAAATGTGCAACAGGTGTTTAGGTTATTTTTCGACACTGATCGATGCAGAGATTACGGCGAGGAAGGTCACAGGTTCGGTTCCGCGGCGGGCCTAATTTCTTTGGCAAAAAGCTCTGCCCACGAATCCAGCGTCAGGCTGCTGATCCAAAGGAAAGCAAGCGACAAGCCGGCTGAAGAAGAAACCCCGTCGTATCACAATGCTCTTTTAATGTCTCATCAAGAATCTCGATTACAAGCTAGGGCGTCCCCCGGAGGCGACGCGCATTTGAGCCCGACAAATGCGAACAGTAAGTGAGGGTTACCGTCCCAACAAGATGAGCGGGGACGGCCAAAGAAGCTAGTTCATCATCATTACGAGTACAAACGACGGAACAAGTTATCAGATACGCTTCGATTAGTTACCATCAACGTGGGATCCCTCACAGGGCGACATCGAGAGCTTGCGGATCTTCTCAGAAGACGCAGAGTGGACATCGCCTGCATCCAGGAGACCAGATGGAAAGGTGAAAAGTCGCGCGATCTAGGAGATGGCTTCAAGCTTCTGTATAAAGGAGCAAGTAACAGCAGAAACGGTGTCGGAATAGTCGTCTCAGAAAGGTTGAGAGATGGGATCACAGGCGTGGATCGAGTAAGCGACCGACTCATGAGCATCAAGCAGCTAGTTGTTGGAATGAAGATTCTGCGAGTAGTCACTGCCTACGCACCTCAAGCAGGTTGCACCGATGAGGAGAAAGACGGATTCTGGCAAGAACTCGACGACTACGTCAGATCGGTACCTTCAGAAGAGACGTTGCTAATTGGAGCAGATCTAAACGGCCACGTAGGAGAACAACGACGTGGGGCAAGTAAATGTCACGGTAATCACGGATATGGAATTCGCAACGACGAAGGGGAGCGCATTCTGGAGTTCGCTACTGCCCATGCATTAGCGTTGGCAAACACATACTTCATCAAGAAGGACAACCATCTCGTCACGTATGCCAGCGGAGAGCGGAAATCGCAAATAGACTTCTGGGTTATGCGGCAAAGAGAGCTCAAATACGTAAAGAACAGCAAAGTCATCCCCAGTGAAGAATGCGTACCACAACACCGGCCGCTGATTCTGGATGTGAATATCCCAGTCAAGAGTCGAAGAAAGCCAACAGTGGAGCACAGAATTCGCATAAAGTGGTGGAAGCTCAAAGACAACGCTCAAGCGAAAGCAGCCATGGAGTCAGCTCTACCAGAACTGGAAGATGAACCGGAGCGATCCTGGGCGAAGCTGAAGAACAACGTTCATCTGATGGCAGGGAATCTACTGGGATGTACGAAACCAGGAAAGCCAAGACTAGATAAGGAAACTTGGTGGTGGAACGAGACCGTCCAATCCGTGATCAAGAGGAAGAAGTTGGCGTACAAGCTATGGCAGAAAACAAGATTAGAAGACGATCATCAGAATTACCTAGCAGCGAAGCGTGAAGCAAAGAAGAAAGTTAAAGAAGCTAAAGAAGCATATGTGGCGGAACTGTATAGAAGACTTCATACTCGTGAAGGAGAGCGGGAGATCTATCGGATCGCAAGAAGAAGAACAAACGCTACAAAAGACATGGAGCACTTCTACAACATCAAAGACAAGCAGGGAAAAGTGCTGAGAACGCCACAAGAGATAAACGAGAGATGGAGAACACACTTCGCAGAAATGGCATCCACGAGCCACGAATACGCGTCGACGACGACTGCAGCCGACCTTGTACATGGACCGGTACCAGCAATCACGGAAGAGGAAGTCCGCATCGCCATAATGAAGACCAAGAACGGCAAGGCGACGGCTCCAGATGACGTCTCCAACGAGTTCTAGAAGGAGTGTGGACAGGCCGGAGTCTCATAACTAGCACGACTTCTAAACCAGATAGTAGAACAGAAGACGATGCCACGCGACTGGTATAGAAGTACGACAATACCGATATGGAAGAATCGAGGAGACATAGCTGACTGCACTACTTACCGTCCCATCCGACTCATGAGCCACACACTAAAGATCTTCGAAAGAATAATAGAAACACGACTTCGAAGAATTGTGGAGCTGGCATCCAATCAGTGCGGATTCGTCAAGGGATGCAGTACAACCGACGCCATCCATACCGTCAGAATAATGATGGAAAGAAGCCGAGAAAAGCAGTGTGCGTTACATGCAGCATTCCTCGACCTGGAGAAAGCGTTCGATAAAGTACCGCATAACATCATATGGTGGGCGCTGCGGAAGCACATGGTTCCAGAAGAATACGTGCAGTGGATAAAGATGATCTACAGAGATGCGACCAGCCACGTACAAACAGCAGCAGGAGAATCAGAAGACTTCCAGATAAAAGCCGGCGTTCATCAAGGATCCGTGCTGTCACCTCTCCTCTTCATCACAGTTGTGGACACGATAGTCAGAAACTTCATCGTCAACCTCCATGGGCCGTGATGTACGCAGATGACGTGATTCTGATGGCGAGAAGCAGGAATGAATTGGAGGCGGATGTGCAGAAGTGGAAATCTGGACTTGAGCTGCACGGCCTGAAGATCAATGTCGCGAAAAAAATCTGCAGAAGAACCAAGACTACCCAAAACAGGTAGCATCGAACTAGCGCTTTTAGATTTGGAAACAGTATTCCTCAAAAAGCGTTGTAGGATTTTACCACGCCAAACCTGGGCCATACAAGGAGATCCACATGATCTTACACTATGTCAAACAGACACCATTATTCAAATCAAATGCTATCAGCATGGTCGACATGATCAAGCTGGCTAGGCCACATCTTGTCAAACGCAAGGGTAAGATCATCAATTTTTCCAACATTGCCGGACAGCTGAGCTCTGTAAAATCCTAATTTCTGATCTATTCTGCGTTTCTTTGCTATTATACTTACCTACAAACTACAGCATGTTTATTATATGCAGTGAATGCATATTATGATATGTCAAGAGCAGCGCTGGATCAAATGATGCGCTCTGGCAAGCGAACTGGTGGCGGAAGAGTTCGTGTGAATAGTGTGAGGTAAGGACAAATGAATACTCCAATTATAATATATGAAATCCTTGGCCGCTTTAAAAAAAGCAGCAGGAAGCGGAAAACCGCGAGGCGGTCCCGCAAAGCCGGCGCCGGAACATCAAAGTTTGCGCCGGAAATACCAAGTTTTGAATGCTTTCTCAAACTTTTGGTAGTAAACTTGCTGTTTTCGTCTCTTTTGTCATCCTCGCTCTCAATTCTTGATGTCTTTTTTCTCACCCTTCTTTTCAGATGCCTCACCTAAACGTTTTGGTGTCATCAAGTGGTGAGATTGGCTAGAGCTTGGGGATATCTACAAAAAGTTTTTGTCGAGGCACGCGGTACTAAATTGATGGAAACTGATGTCCGATAGGGCACAAAATCTGTAATTCTATCAGCAATTAAAAAGGAACAATCTGTTTTTGCATTTGTTAACGTTTCATTCGCGCTGCGTTTTTCATCGTGCACGAAGTCACAGCTATAACATAATAACAGATGTTTGGTGGCTCAGGTGTGCAAGCTTAACTAATCTGGAATCTTTACTTTTAGAGAAGGAAGTAAGCTTTGCGCTGTCTTGCTTTTTCTTGTAGTTAATGTTTGCGCAGATTTGCAAGAGATGCTTCATCACGGTTGATGCTCTTGAGTTAAAGTGCAAAAAGATGAGTTTTATGTGAGAGCGATGTAGGCGTCCGACCAGTTCCGAAAATGTTGAAACCCCGGACACGACACTTTGCTCATGGCATGTATTTGCCTTGCAGATATGTTAAAGTTTGAACGTATATTTTGGCGTCGCAGCGCGTCGAAGATATTGCAGGAGCGCTTGAATGAGACAGCGGCAGTGCAGATATATCTCACCTAAGAGTTTTTACTTTATAGAGTGCTGAAAAGATTACCACTGGTTCGTTTAAGCGCTATTGCTATTGTTTTGATATTATTTGCACATTCAATTTTTATGGGGTAGGACTTTGGGTACTCTGGCCATAAAAAGTTTCAGTCTATTGCTATCTTTGGGCAAGGAGAAAGAATGGGCACCGTGGAACTCAATGCTCTCGTTCAAAAAAGTTCTGGGGTAAGGAAGTTTAGACACTTTCGTTAGGGTACGAGAAGTCTGGCTCCGACATGGGAAGTCTGAGATAGTAAAATGGTGAGAAAGAGTTAGAACCTGATTTGACAGGACACTTGGGAGAGGATCGTGGGGGGGGGTATAAGAGGGGTGGGAGAGGAAATCACCCCTATGCCAAGTTCCAGCCAAATCCGTCAAACTTTGAATTTTCCCCTTCATACCATACACCTACCGTAACCCTCACTGCGACGTCAGAATTTGGTAGGACACCAGCTGCGCATGTAGCTTACGTAATAACCAACGCAGTGGCAAAATTTGAGTGCGCCAAGTTGTGTGAGAGAGAAGTTATGAGATCAGTTACAAAACTTAGTTTCCAACCTAATAAATTCGTATGCCCTTACACAGGCTGTCGATTTTCTGCCCTCATAACTTCCAGATGAGACTTCTTTTTCATTTCAAAATGCATCTTTCACCATGAAAAGAACAGGCACATTCGTTTCATAGCTTTCACAACAAGTTGCTTACCTCTTTCATGAAAAAGGACATAAACCGATCCGCTGCCACATTTGTATTTGTGAACATCAACGCCGAATAACCTAGGTGGTTCGCAAACGACAGTATGATATTCCAGAGATCCTGCATATGCACGGCAAAAATAGTGGCAGGTATCAACCCGGATATATGGGCGGATAAGTACACAAGGCTAGTGGTTATCATGCTAATAACATGATATCGGATCGGTTTGTCGAAAATACTCATCTTCATAGTAATAATCAACAGTAGTGAATTAAGTATAAACGATATTGCTGTGAGAAGTATCAGTAAAGCTCCGAACCAGATCCTGTCTGCTATAAGAGGTTCGTCTTCATGTGCATTACGAAAGCATTCAAGTGCTTCTGACATATCTAATAGTGTATATAGCTGGTTGGAGTCTCTGAACACTGTGTTGATTATATGAGAGCAAAGCTACAGGATGTGAATATATCGAACCATTTCAATGTTTCGCATAATTACAATATTCGTTGAGAGAGGAAGTACTATGATTTGAGGAATGACATAACATTGTAAAGGGACCAATGAGATAGCAGTGGACTTTTCGTTGTAATAAAGCTATCATTCAGGTTTAAATGGAAAGGGCGCAACTGGTGATTCACGTCTTGGCAATCTCAATGATGTTTCAGTTACTGGTTTTTGCCAAGTCTAGGGGGTCAAACGCCTTAGCGAAAATGTTTGTTGCACGAAGCTCATGGTTCTGTCTTTTCCCCGAAACCAAGAAGCTATCTGTGCTGTCTTGCTTTTAGAGGAAGAAGTGTGGTTTTGCAAAGTAGAAAGGCCGAAAGTTTCTGTGAAAATGTTCTGTCGCAAGAAGCTCGTGGGTCTGTCCTTCCCTAAAGACTAAATTCCCTGTGCTTTTCTGCTTTTAGAGGCAGAAGTACTGGTTTTTCCCAAGTCTAGGGGGTCAAACGCCTTAGCCAAAAAATGTTTGTCGCACGAAGCTCATGGTTCTGTCTTTTCCCCGAAACCAAGAAGCTATATGTGCTGTCTTGCTTTTAGAGGAAGAAGTGTGGTTTTGCAAAGTAGAATGGCCAGAAGTAAATTTTACGCAAATTTTTGTATAATCATTGACACCTAGAAACTTCTGGCAAAAATATCTCGCTGCTTGAGGCCATAAATCTTTCTTCCCTCGAGACCAAAGCTCCTTATTTGCTTTTAGGGCCAGAAGTGTGGTTTTTGCGAAGTTTGGGGGTCAAACGTCTTAGCGAAAATGTCCTGTCGGATGAAGCTCATGGGTTTGTCCTTCCCTAGAAAGAACTTCGTGCTTTTTTACTTTTATAGGCAGAAGTATGGTTTTTGCGAAGTAGAAGGGCCAGAAGTGAATTTCAAGCAAGTTTCTGTATGAATAAACATTGACACCCAAAGATTTTCAGCGAAAGTTACTTGCTGCCTGAAGCCATGATTCCTTCTTCCCTCGAGACTAAGCTCCCTGTTTTTTTTTTGCTTTTAGGGCCAGAAGTGTTGTTTTTGAGTTTTGTCGCTTTTGCGAAGTTTGGGGGCCAAAAGTTTTAGTGAAAATGTCCTGTGGGATCATGGGTCTGTCCTTTTCCAGAGACCACTTTCTGCTTTCAGAGGCAGAAGTATGGTTTTTGCAGAGTGGAAGGGACAGAAGTAAATTTAAAGGAAATTTCTGTAAAATTAGATATTGACTCGTAGAAGTTCTCAGCGGAAATATCTTGCCGCCTCAGTTCATAAGCCTTTTCTTCCCTCGAGACCAGGAAGATCTTTGTGCTTTTCTTATTTTAGGGGCAAGATTTTAAAAGGTAAAGGCGGGCAAAAGTGAATTTATAACAACTTTAGCTAAATTTACCGTTTTCGTCAATTCCGAGTGTGATAATAGAATTTACAGCATGCTCACTTACCCCTCGGACCAGTGCCATCTCAGCCTCGTAGCTTCAGCTTTACAAAAAAGATGAAGTCAATAAAAGTAATGAATATTCTCAAAAACGGTTACTATCTTTGCAGTGAGCGTGCTCACATACAACTTTGTGCCAAATGCCAGCCGTGTAGCTCTAATACAAAGAATGGAAAAATCGACAGAAATGATAGTACTTTCAAGAACACTTATTACAGTCGTAATAGGCATGCTCGCTTTTTTCCCATGTACCAAATCCCAGTCTCATGGCTTAAACATTGCAAAAAGTCGATAAAGCCAGTGAAAATAAATGATCACTTATAAATAAGAATGTGTTCTTGAGCAGCATGCTCAGTTACCTGCCTGTACCAACACCCCAGCGCCGTGATTCAAACATTGCAAAAAATCGATTAAACCAATAGAAGTAATCGGTATTTTCTGAAATGCATATTCGTAATCGGCATGCTCGCTTACTCCCATGTGCCAATTCTCAGCGCCGTAGCTCGAACTTTAAAATCTATAAAATGATAAAAGTAATTGAAAATTCTAAAAACTAATATTGTATTCGTAATCAGCATGCTCGATTACCCGCCCATACCAACTCTCAGCGCCGTAGCCCCAACTTTGCGAAAAATCGATGAAATCGATAGAAGTAATAGGCATTTTTCAAAATGGTTATCATATTCGTAATCAGCATGCTCGATTTCTCCCTGTGCCAACTCCCAGCCCCGTAGCTTACTCTTTGTCAAAAAATCGATAAAATGATAAAAATAACTGATAAGTTTGACAATTAATATTGTATTCGTAATCAGCATGCTCGATTACCCCCCCCCCCCCCTGTGCCAACTCCCAGCCCCGCAGGTTAAAATTTGCAAATAATCGATAAATTTGGTAGAAGTGACATTTATTTTCATAAAGGATGATGAATCCTACTCAACATCCATGATGGTGACCCCTCTGCCAAATCCCGGTTCAGCCCAAATTTTGTAAAATCGATAAACTCCCTGAGAGTGAAGCCGTTGCCAAACTCCCACGATAACAAGTTTTCATACTGAAAAACGACAGACACGAAAACACGGTCGACCAAAAAAAAACACCATCGAGGAGGTACAGACACTTATCCACCAACGTACAGACAAGTACACCGATAGGTTTTATATATATAGAAGGATAGGCTGTAGCAACCAGCATCGGTTATGCGACGTCGCGCATGCGGCAACTTGCGATTATGCGGTATGACGCGTGCGAAATCTGCTACGCGTTAAAGTACGTCGCATGCGACGGTGCGTCCTCGCAGGGCATACCAGCGCGGGACCGATGTTGGTTGATACAGTTTGTAAATACTTGTTGAGTATCCGAAGAGGTATGCAAAAAGCTTGAAGACTTTCTTGTTTCAATACAAGTTTGAGCGAGCAATATTAGGTTGATGCAAAAGTAACGGCCGTTTTTCGAAGCCTTTTCCAAAACAAGTTTTTTCCACCAAAAATCTCTTTCTTTGAAACAGATACTACATGCTTTTGAAAAATACTTTTTATGCTTCTACCTAAAGGTAGTAAAGTGGGCTTCCAGCCTCATCTTTAGAAAGTTAAAGAGCTTCGAATAACCGTATCCAAAATTAGAATTTTGTTGCATTCACATTTTTAGCCAGATTTCGAACGCGAATGAACTTCGCTTCTTCGGAAATTTAGATGCTGCATGCAAAAGAGATTGCCTACATTACGCATACTTAACTATTTGTTTTGAAATTATTTAGACTGGGATATCGGCGCCTCAACATCAGTACAGTTGCGGTCATTCTATATAAACAATTTCTTTTACACACAATAGCTAAATCTTCGAAGAGCGCCGTTTATTCACGCTTGAATTGTCCATAACGGTAATGCAGCGAAACTTATTTTGGATGCGGTTACTTGAAGCTTTGTAACCTTTCAAGAAATGAGGCTGAAGCCCGCTGAAGAGAGCTTTTCGAGGATATGTCGTAACTTTTCCATAGAAACTTTTGGCGCGAAAAAGTTATCCTGAAAAAAGGCTCGTAAAAGGGCCATTATTTTTGCATCAAACTAGTATTTATCTGCGTCATGTTTATTATCCCTCCTTTTGTGAAGCAAAATTCTCTATGCTACTTAGATTTACATAGGTGAGCTATCACAAACTACAGAGATTTTCTGCCAAAGGAAACACATTAAGAAGTAGGGCTTCCCTCAGCTGTACATGTATCGAACAGGGTCTAGTAGATGGAAGATTACGTCCAAGCAGCACGTTGCACTCTTGCAAAGGTGAGTGCGATAGTCATAAGGATTGAAGCCGAGTATGCAGAGTCAATGATCAGACCTACGGGTTGATGCAGAAAGTATTAGATTAGAAAGAAAAAATATCGCATTTTCTGCTATCATGCGATACCGAAGCAATGTGAGCACCGGAAAAAGTGCATCAGTGGGGTATCGTTTGATAGACCAAAGTAAGCTCTACAAGACGGCTCTCGAACAATCGCGTCAAGTTCTCTAGTAATTCAAAGCCAAAATCTAAAGGGTTCAAAATGCCCGAAAAATCAGGAAAGAATCGTATCCTCTCCCAAAAAATCCTGCGAACATCAAAGCTGCTCTAGGATATTCTCTGCACTTCAGACATTGACATGCTGCATTGCTGACTTTTCATGGCTAAAAATTAAAATACGAAAATTTTCACTTCTCTTCAAGAACAGTGCTGAGCCGTTCCCACACAAGTAAATGTATGGCTTTACCAAGCATAGCCATGAATTTTTAGCCTTCTAAAAGGGTTAGAGCTCGAGAAGAATCGATTTTAACTTTTTCTTCCAAACTTTTTATGATGAATTTGATAGTTCTCGTGAACTAAATCTTCCGTAAGGCTGAAATTTGTGAAGATCGCAAAAATTAGTACTATAGGCTTACTTGAGTGGGAACCGCCCAGCATTACTTTGAAAATTAACTAAGAATTTTCGTTTTTTTTTGAATCGTAGTTACGGAAAAGTACAGCAACTATGCATATAAACTTCTGATGTGCAATGAATATTTTTGAGTAAGTAGAGGATTTGCAGGTTTTTTTTGAGAAAGAAGATACGATTTTTTTCAATTTTTGGGCATTTTGAACCATTACGATTTTGGCTTTGAGTTACACTTATAAGGAAAACCTAACTTAGCTCGGCCTACTGCCAAGGGACATATATATTCTGAGTCGGCTTTAAACGAGGCGCAGAAGTGGCATACTACTGAACATGGGAAGACTGCCTATATAAAAATCCTAGGTAAAAATCTGCAAGGAAAAGATGTTGAGATATCGAAATAACACATATCCAATCTTTTCTCACTAAAAAAAAGCTTAACGCAAATGTATAAGCATTTAGATGATGATGCCGTGATGCCAGCGAGTCGATGAGTATGCCACTTTTGCGCAGTAAAAAGCCCATAACTCGCTTCTGAATGGTGCGCGGCAGCTAGGAATAGCATATTTGGAATCAGCGTTTAAAGCTGATTCAGAATATATAGGTCCCTTATCAAAAGGCCGAGCTAAGTTAGGTAGCTTCCCTTGGATCGAACTTGGTGCAATTGATCGCGTGATTATCTTGTAGAACTTGCTTTGCCCTATCAATTGATGCCACATGCACTTTTCTGGAGCTCACACTGCTTTGATATCGCACAAACACAACATGCGACAGTCTTTTAATTCCAATCTAATGTTATAGAACCCCTCGCAAAACAATAGAAACTAAACAACTCAACACAAGCAATTACTCTTATAAAGTTAGGTACCGTAGATTGACCTGATTTATTATGATAACAACCGCTCTAAAAGCGTTGCGTCTTTGTAGTAGTAAGATCTGCTAAACGCAATTTCTTACAATCATACTTTTTCAAGTAGCAACGTTGTTTGCGTAATGATTTCCCATCATACAAACAACTACTTGTTTTTTTTCTTTTCAGTAAGAGTTAAAGGTATACAATTTTCACCCTTAAGGGGAGGGGCGGAAGTCGGCAGCAATCATTGCAATTGCGTCCGAGATCACAGATGAC